ATATATATCCATCATTACTAGAAAATTAGCTGTAAATAGGATACGTTCAAAATGATTCACAGGGAATCGCTCTTATACGTTCTTTTGTAACAATAATATGCCATTTTAACGCATTCAAATGCATTTTTAGAAACGCGTTTTATTCGATACATATCCGTTTCAATTACTAAATGATGCGTTTCAATGCGTTTTAAAAACTGCGTTCAAAGTCTAGTGAAAACATGTGAACTAGAAAAAATGCGTTGAAACGCAAATTTTTACAAATTTTTTTTTCATGGGTACCAAGAAGTACCAAGAAGTACGAAGAAGTACGAAAAAGTACGAAGAAGTACCAAGAAGTACCAAGAAGTACGAAAAAGTACGGAAAAGTACGAAGAAGTACGAAAAAGTACCAAAAAGTACGAAGAAGTACAAAGAAGTACAAGAAGTACAGAAGTCCGCTTGTTCCCCCTTGGTATTCTCTCTTCTATCTATATAGCACAAAAAAAAGTATAGTGACCTTTTTTCAACATGAATTCGACAGATTGATGTTCAATATTTTCTTTCGCAATAAACGAATAGAAACATTTTTCATCGACTTCGTCCGACTTGAGTATGGCAAGAGAAACGAAGAAATATTCTTTTTCTTTCACACATATTGATGAGCAAATATATCGTCATTTGAACATAGCATGATACAACATTAATCTAAGACAAAAGTTCAAGGTTAGTTCCAATGTCTTTTCTTTTTGTTTAGTGCATTCTATTTTGATTGTTCGAAAGAATTATGGATACATTAAAAAAAAGATTAGATCTTTCTGCATTTCAACAATCTTTAGAACAAGAAAATCTTTATTGTTAACATAACTTTTACTGATAATTGTTTTTGCCTAGTTCTTATCGAAATCGATCATAATATGATTAAAGTATTAGAATTTGCTTGATTGTCTTTAAAAAAAAAAGAAAAGTTTTTGTTTTCTTCAAATTGTAAATAATATTCTCATTGCATTTGAGTATAGCTGGACATAAATTGATTTTAATTAAATAACGATATTATTCAATACGAAATATATCAAATGTATGAAGTAAATGCAAGAAACTGGGATCTCTCATGTGAATGAGGCTTAAACAGGTCAGCGTATAAATCGTGAGGGGCACGTTGAAAGTAACTCTTCTACCTTTCAAATTCAACTTCGCAGCATCTTTTTATACTCTTGCTTTCAGTGATAAGTTTTATCCTTGGAACGGACCGATTTTCTTTATATATCAGTCTTTTGTAGGCATATCTGTCGCTCATTATTGTAGTTTCGTTATAGTTAATATTTTCTGTCATTGAGTCGAGGTTTTAGATTTATATTTCGACAATGCTTTTAGTCTAGATACATTGAACAGTAATAAACTTGTTACGGGTTTCTATTAATTACAAAAATGGTCTTTACTTGTAGAGAGAAAATATTATCCTATTTTGAAAAATAAAAGGCTAAAGAATTAAAAAATGTTTTATCAATAAATAGAATAGAAATTAATGAGAGATGCAAAAGTCTTTGCATAAATGTCAAACTCTCTTAGACCATATTGCGAACTTTTAAACCAATCAAATTTCTTTTTGTTGGAAAGAGCAATGTCTGAACTACAAATTTTGTACCAGACATATTTTTCCAGAACGAATCTCAGAAGGAGAAAAAGCCAAAACCCAAACTCCTCTAAATAAGTTCTTGCAACATTTTTGCAACTTGAAATGTTTCTATGTCTCAATTATTTTGAGCTACATAGGTCGAATCCTAACAAAAAAATACGCCAGATGTACTCCATCAAAAGCTTTATCGATGACAGCTTTGGTAAAATTTTTTAGATTCGTTCTTGACTTTTTAATCAAAATAATTTGGAAACAGAAATTTTTGTAAAATAGTGTCTTTTGCAAGAACTATCAGTTTGGAAGGACATCGGCCACAATCTCCAGAAACCACGCATGAACTGAATTCTTTGTACGTTATTTGTTCGAAATGTGTTAGATTATAGAAACTTAGCAGAAGAAAACAATTCAAAAAGTGTTTTTTTATTGTTGCACAACGGTCAGGTAATAGGAACGACCAAATTATGCAGTCTTTTTCAGAAAAAGCTATATTTTGGTATAAAGACCAACAGTAAATTTAACTTTCAATACACCAATAGAAAGAGCCCTCTTTATGCTACAAAAATCATTATTAAATGTGTTCTTTCGTTCCACTTCTGATATTGAAAAATTAACAAAATAAAAAATAGTGTTGCGCGATGGTGAAGTTGCAAGAACTTTTTTAGAGGTATTTGGTTTTTGGCTTTTTCTCCTTTTGAGATTCGTTCTGGAAAGATATGTCTGGCACAAAATTTGTAGTTCAGACATTGCTCTTTCTAACAAAAAGAAAATTGATTGGTTTAAAAGTTGACAATATGGTCTAACAGAGTTTGACATTTGTGCAAAGACTTTTGCATCGCTCATTAATATTGAAGTATTGAATTTTGAAAACGTGATATTAACATTGAATCGAAGAATTTTATTAATTATCATTCCTCTATAGCATAAACTAAAAGAAGTGAATTTGCTTTAGTTTTATATTTTAATGTCAATTGACTTCGTGGAATTCTTTAACATACAACAGAAAATATTCTTCTAGATATTTAAATTTTGAAATATGTTCATTAAAATATCGTAAGATTAAGTTGAACATTCTTCGTTTGCTTTTTTTTGTTGCTAGCTATATCAAATAATTTATTCGTTAGCATATAACACTAGCAAAAAAGCATAAAATTTGTTGTGTCATGTAACTTATTAGTGTTAAAGAACGAATAAATATCAAAAACACATAGTATGTTAGAAAAAACGATGGAATTTTTAAAATTCAAATGTACAGTGTTGGTTCTCAGTGAGTTAAACAACATATATCAATAATTTTCTGTTTTTAATAGGAACACTTGCTCTTTGAATATGTTTCCACAATAGAATCATTATGTGAAAAGCTGAATTAATAAATATAAATAATTGAGATTGTTGATTGCAGATAGTTGTAGAGCAGTCATATGAATCAAAAAAGATATATTTATCATCTATGAAACAAATCTGTTTTACTCAACTTTGAAGATTTGACGTTTTTTTTACTTTTAAAATAATGTATTAATTTTAAATAAAAACTGTTCGAATTTGAATCATATTCATGAAGTATTATAACAAGCATTTTATTTTATTTTATTTTTGTTTTTTCAGTTTTTTTTATATTAGTCATTTAATCAGTGATTAAAAGTGATTTAAAATGAAAAAAAGAAAAGCATAGCATAACCTTAGTTTTAGATAAAATGAACTCGCAAACAACAATAGAAACACTACCAAATGAAACTCTTTTTTATATATTTTCTCATCTGTCATGGACTGATTTATTAACGTCTTTATGGTCCTTAAATATTCGTTTTAATTATCTTGTGTGTTCAATTCTTTCAATAAATGGTAATCAATTGAACACTGGTCTTATTATTACATTAGGTTCATCTTATAAGAAGCTTAATTCAATATTCTTTCCATTGATTTTAAATTCATCATGTCTTTCATCTTCTATTCAACGTATTCATTTTGATGAAACAAATTCAATTGCTTGTGATTTTATTTATCAATGGTTATTTAATCATAAAGAAATTCTTCTTTTTCCAAATCTTAAATCACTTATACTTACTCGATGTAGATCAATTGAACCGTTAACTGAAAGTTTATTTTATCTTATTGAACATCAATTAGATGAACTTACATTAAGCTTTGATAAGGAAATTTTCACAGAATCTAGTTATGTACGACAACATTCGTCAATGATTTTTGATAAAAGTAATTAATTGTTTATTATGTTACATACTTTAAAACAAAACAAGTTTTATCGATATCTTTGAAAATTTAGCTTCAGCATTGTTGAAGAATTGAGAAATGAAAATTTCTAATATGTAGAGGAACTAGTAACTTTGCTATGATAATTTTCATTGAAAATGAGAAATGACCATACGTTCTTCCATTTCATGAAAGCCAAAGTGATGCTTTTTCGAAAATAGTTTTCATACTTATATATGTATATTCATAAACTCCTTAATGAAAATGAGCGTAAGAGGAAAAAAAATATCATAGATATTGTATTTTTTTAAATTTTAGGATTCATGAAACTGGAAGAATCTATTTTCTTGAGTACTTGAACAATCCTCTCTGAAGGGAGAAACCGGTTTGAGCTGCATCCGCTGATATGTTAGAAGTTTCAGAAGAGTTATTTTAAAGTTAATCTTGAGAACCTGATATTTGTTCATTTGATATGTTTTGAAATATTCTTTTATTGAGCAACAATTCAGTGTAAATGGCTTCAACTCAGGAACACTCGAACATGCACAGGATTTAGTCTAGACTTTATTATGTTTCAAAAGATTTCAATCGACTAAGTAAGTCTTAGAAAGGAAGATCTTTGCGTAATTCTCTGAGATTTCAATGAAACTTATATGGATTTGTCAATTCAAGTGTCTATATCTCAAATATAGAAAAAATAATAGCTTATACTGATCAGTGAAAATAATTTGAAGTAAAAATTTTTTTGCTTAGGATCTTGAAGGGAACTACAAGAATGTTTTTTTTTAACGATAACAATTGCAAAAGAATTCTAGAACATTCCTAGTTCAACTTAATTTTAAGTGCTAATTCTAAATATGTCATTAAGATTAGTACATATTGTTTTTTTTAACCGAAATCTCCTGAGCAATAGTCGAATATATAACAAAATCGTATTTGAAGAATAGTTTGCTAGGAAATTTCGAAGTGAGCAGTATTTTTGGAATTTAAAAAATATATGTGATTATATAGTGTTTGTTTTTTTTAAATATTGTTAATGGATATATGAACATTTACATGAGCTGACTAAAACTTGTAATTATCTATCGGGTGACTAGATAACTAACCGAACACAATTTGCAGCCACTCACCACTCACCGCCAATGAAATAACAAATGAATAATACAAATAGTTTTTTTTTTCAATAGACTTGTTCTTAAGCGAATCGATGTAGAGTCCAATGCTCTATCGAATGATACCATTCCAAAGCGAAAGTGATATCATGGTGTAATGACATCAGTAAAATATTTCGTCATCATTTTGATGATTGTATATTAATGGTAGTATGCCCAGTAGAGTCCTGCAGGGTGCAACTTTTTCGTACCCTATACCCTACCCTGCGAGAATTTCGATACCCTGACCCTATCCTACCCTACGCCTCCCGTACCCTGACCCTACCCTACCCTACGCCTCTCGTACCCTGGCCCTACCCTACCCTACGCCCAGCGTACCCCTACCCTACCCTACGTCCTTCTTACCCTAACCCTACCCTACCACACAGATTTTGTATCTTGTACCCTACTATACACAACGTTTTACATTTAAGTGAATCTTAATAGGCTGCGTTTTTCATTATTTTCAACAAATTTTTATTAATTTCTAACGAAAATTAAATGTAAAATTATGAAATAAAAGGTGTTTCATAAGTAACGACCCCATTTCTATTTTTTTTTCTTATCTTTATCATATTTGAAGATGAATACTTATCGACAATATAGTTTTGAAGAGTAGTATCTAAGCTATGATCCAATGTGGATGGTCCTCAATCGACATCAAATGTAAGAAAGGACTGCATTAGTAAAAATATTGAAAATATTTTATCAAATTTATTTTGTATCTTTTTCCTGTGGAGCATGACCTTCTCAGTATTTTGTGAACATCTCTCTCAACTTTTGATGCATTGACTTGAATTTTTTTCCAAAAGATAGTTTGTGAAATTTTCTACAAAATCCAATAAAATAATTCTCCAAAAGAATAATTAGAAAACAATATCTGATCAGCAGTACTACATTTCAAATAAACCCCACTCCTAGTAACGCTGTTTTTCTTTACAAAGTCAATGACATCTTCTTTCGTGAAGGAACAGGTTTCAAGCCATCCTAAGTTATTCATTTGGGCAGCTGTTCATATTGGATTTTGTAGAAAATGTCACAAGTTATCTTTTGGAAAAAAGTTCAAGTTAATGCATCAAAAGTTGAGAGGGATGCTGACAAAATACTGAGAAGGTGATGCTCTACAGGAAAAAGATACAAAATAGATTTGATAAAATTTTTTCAATTTTTTCACTAATGGAGTCCTTTCTTAGATTTGATGTAGATTGAGGACTATCCACATTGGATCATAGCTTAGATACTACTCTTCAAAACTATCGTCGATGAGTATTCATCTTCAAATATGATAAAGATAAGAAAAAAATAGAAATGGGGTCGTTACTTATGAAACACCCTTTATTTTGAAATTTTCTCAAAAAATAAAACATCATGAACAATTTCGTCATTTTAATTTTGTCTTCTTTCTTCTAAAACTCTTCCACTTGCACTGAAAATACGTTTACTTGTTGCTGAACTAGCTAGAATTCCTAATTGCCATTTTGCCCGTACACTAAGTCGTGGATAATGCAATGACCATTTCTGCCCTAATTATATCGTGGATTTTTTTTCTTCTACCCTGACCCTACCCTACCCTATGACCTCCGTACCCTGGCCCTACCCTATCCTATGCCCCCCGTACCCTAACCCTACCCTACTCGGCAGGGTAGGGTAGGGTAGGGTTACCCTGCAGGACTCTAATGTCCAGTGGTTATTACCCTTCATATTATCGCATCGATTTGTATACACTATCAAGTAACAGACTGTAGCGTTGTGCATAGAAACTAGCATTTATTTTAACGATTGAGGAATGGAACGATTTGACAGTTCATACACTCCACATGCTGTTTTTAGTTTAGGAGCAAGTGTTTATTTAATCTGAATCAGAGATCTCAATGGGCCGAATATAAAACAAAACGAAATTATCAAAGCTTCTTTCTCAAAGTAAAATTAAAATAATCTTTAGGAATGGTCATCGGATAAAAGCATAATCGTAACTGAAGATCAGACATGTAAAAGTTCGTCATTAATTATCCATGTGATTCATTATATGTAATCAGTTGCATTCACACCTCTCCTACATATGAGTCAACAGAGTGGCGCCTAACTTTTACTGTTTTCATTTTAGTTATATCACAGCTAAGTTATTTTTGTTTGTCGTTTTTGCACGCTATATGTGGCGAGCAGGACATATTTTGGAAGATTGGAAAAAACTGGTATCAGTACCAGCTTGATACTTTCATCTTACGTTTCAATGAAAAATTTTAGATTTTCCGTTTTTGAGTTGAGTTTGACACAAAATGATGACTTGACATATGTACGTCTAGCTAGAATTAATTAAAGAAAGAAAACTCGTGACGCCACACGATAAAGTGCTTAGCATCTTAATTACTTCAGTTAGCATGGCAAGTCAACATGTCTGTCTGAAAAAGTATCAATCAGATGAGTGGCCCATGGACACACATGGGCGGGCGGGTTTTTTTAGAAAACACAATGGGCTGGGCCGAGCCGAGGTTGATAGCCCATGGGCTGATTTTTATTTGCCCGACCCGACCCATTGAGACCTCTGATCTGAATACAATCAATTGTATAAACTTAAAATACCAAGCGTTGCGATATAAGTTCTAAACCGTTGTATAGAGAACTAGTAGCCCTGAAAACTTCTTAATTCTATGTTTTTTTTTATATTCTAAATAACTGAAGAGAAAGAAAATATCTTTTGAGTACTAGATATTCATACATAAGCATAAAGTTTTTATGAAAGTATTCTCTTCTATTGTATAAAATCTGTTTAACAATAGGCGAAATGCTGATGTTCGAAAAGAAAAAGCCGATTAAAAGAAAGAAATAGGTTTTTTTATTAAAATAGATACGAAGAAGTAATTTCTTTTCTGGCGATGATCAGAAGAACATTTTACTAATGTTTATTATTAATAGCAAAAAAGAATTATTGCAGCAATCGACCCGAACAAAATGACTGCAGCAACTAAAAGAAAAATCTTTGCACATAGATACAGGATAGAAGTTCTCATAGAACTGAAAGCACAAATCGTGTACAATCTCAAAATAGACAGCATCTTTCAGGTCAGTAGTCACTTGAATATCAAATATGTTAGATCATAGTTGAAAATTCTGTTCGACTAGTTGTTTAGTCGACCAATAGAGATTTATATTGTTCAGTGAATATAAATGTTCATATATTCATTAATAACATTTAAAAACAACAAACACTATTATCGCATATATTTTTTTTGAATTTCAAAAATATTGCTCGCTTTGAAATTTCCCAGCAAACTATTCTTCAAATATGATTTGGTTATATATTCGACTATTGCTCAGGTGATTTCGGTTAAAAAAGAACAATATTCACTAACATGAATAACATATTTAGAATTAGCACTTAAAATTAAGTTGAACTAAGAATGTTCTAGAATTCTTTTGCAAATTTTATCGTTAAAACAAAAATTCTTGTAGTCTCTCTCAAGATCCTAAGCAAAAAATATGTTTACTTCAAATTATTTTCATTGATTAGTCTAAGCTATATTTTTTTTCTATATTTGAGATATGTACACTTGACTTGACAAACCTTCCCTCGTTTTGTTGATAATTGATTTATAAGTCGTACGAGATTTTCTCATAAGATAGATATATCTATATATACATATATAGTGAAATGTCTGTCTCATCTTTATCTGATAGAAACAACCAATTAGATTTTAAGGGCGTTTTTTTACACTTTCTCTCGGTGTAAGGCTTAGTTTTGTTCTAGCCAACTAACAATGATTGCTAGGAGCTACGGATTCATTGTCACGACATTAGGTCGATTCATCAGCGTTATGAAATAAAATCGTTAAAATCTCTAATATAAGGTCAGTGACGAGATCAAATCATTAGGTGTAGGGCGTATGTACATGGGAACTCGCTAGTATAATATACTAAATAAAAGTACAGAATTTAATAATTTACTGGTAGCTTACTATAAAGAAATATGGCTTATGAAACGATAACATGATCTTACATTTTTCATATGGAAGACTAAGCGTTTAAAGATTAATCTTTTATGTCTCTCGAGATGCAGTTATAAATGGATGTTGCGCAACCATTGAGAATCAAGCTTCAGTGAACTAAATTATAATAACATGAACTTGACTAAAGCCGATTTCGTGCATAGAATTGAACAAGATTTATTTGTTGGTCTTCGTGTTATAGTGAGCTTCGAAATGATTATTCAACGCTAAGATTTTTGATTTATCTTTTGTGTTTTTATAATAATGATAAAACTATAACTTACAACTAGTGATAATGTAGAATAGAAGATAGACATTGATCTCTAGTAATCTATTTAAAGAATAACGAATCATTTTAATATGAAGCTTCTTACATTCACTGATGACCTGAATATGAACTTGTCAAACACAAAAGTTTACATCAACAAAAATAATCGAAATAATCGTTGACCAAACGATGGCTAGAGTGTCTTTACTCATTCGTATGTTCGATGAAAATCATGTTCAATTGTTGATGAAATAACATTAAAATTTCCCACAACTACATTAGTTCGAAAGTCAATGCTGAATTCACTCTGTTTAACTTAATCAAACGAATTGATTAGTGTGCGTTCTGAAAATGCCAAGTTTGTCATACTAATATTAAATAGATACAACCTTTCTCAAAAGCTAAGCTTATTTACTAGTCGTGTTAAATCATTCGAAATGCATATGAAAAGAAGATGTACTTCACCAGTCTGAAAGAATTCTAACAATCTAACGAAGAACGAGATTTTTGAATCTGAAATTTTGCACATGATTCCAAATATATCTAAGCATTATAATAGGATAGGATCAACTTTAATTACAACTTTTAGAAGAACCGTAAGAAAAACCTTTTGTAGCATCTTATGTAAATCTCAATTATTTAATTGGTCGATTAAATGAAAATAGATTAAAATTTATTTTATAATTTTTGTTTTATGATAATATTCGAAAATGTTAACGATAAAAAAAAGTGACATATGATAAATGCGAGTATTATATTGTTAAATCTAAAATAAACAAATTTCTTTTTTTTTATACACAAAAGGAAAAGAATATTTTTTATTTTTTTTATTTTTGCTTGATATTTAATAGAAAAACAAACGAGCATGATGAAGCAACTTCTTTGTCAATTATTTTCTGGTCAATGTAAATTAAAATCTCTTCGACTTGATATTAGCAACGACTTTATAAATAATGATATTCATCGTTGTTTAACATCAAACTATTATCCCTCAACGGGTCGTTGTTGTGCTCTACGTCGTTTGGATATTCGAATTGAATATGCATGTTTTCTTGAAAATCTTATTGAACATGTGCCAAATCTTGAACAATTGTCAATTGAATTTCAGTTTTCATTAAAATTTGATTCATTATGGAAAACAAATTTTGAAATATTGGAACAATCAAATGAAAATTGGTTGAATAAAGTAAGAAGGAAAAATATCGAGTTTTTTTCTGATGAATTTTCACAAAAAGAAATTTTGTTTTAAATTTAAAAATAAAACAATTGAATTACTTTATAGATACCAAAACTACGATGTTTTAGTTTAAAAACATCGATCGATAGCAATGAAGAATTTATTTATTTGAAATGGTTATTGAATAATTTGAATTATGTTGAAAAACTTGAAATTCATCTTAAGAACTATGAAATACACGAAACAGAATCGAACAATATATGGAAATCTTTCATTGATGCCAATTTTGTTCGTCAATATTGTTTACCTGATAGAATAATTAATTTAATTGATTTTAATTTTTATATTTGTTCACAATATGAATTATCATGTAATGATATTGAAAAAAGAATAAATTCATTTAATAATCATCCGTTTTTTCTTGAGCGTCAATGGACCAATGTGAAATTTTTATATGATCCAATAGTATCATTTCAACATCTTTTCTCTGATTTCACAAATTCATCTCAATTCTCTTATCACCTGATGTAGCATATTGTTCTTTATGAAAATTCGAAAAGCTTCTAAATTCGACGATATTTTTTTTTCATTTAGTAAATATCAAAATATTTTGAAATGGATACCGACTAACATTGCCTGGTTCCCGTTATATCCATCGCTTTCTTTTATTCTTCAACAATTCAACCAAGTAAATTCTAATGTTTCTTCTATCAAAATATACACAAGTAAATTGTTATGCATTTCAATCATTTTCTTCATTACTAAACATTTGAATAACTGATTAAGTTTATATATTCAACTTATTTCATAAAAATCTTTTTCTCTCGAATTCCTAAATAGAAGCAAAAACCATACAGAAATATAAAAAAGATTCATTTTTCGAAGGAAGATTCGAGTATGAGACCGTTCGGAAATCATGCGATCACTTTTTGTTTTTACTGAGTTGTCAAATCTAGTGATTTAGCCAGGAAAATCTTAAGTTTTGAAATTTTCTCTTTGTTAAAAAATCTTCTAGAGTTAGGAACTATTTTCTGTTAAAATTTTCTCTTGGTTTTCTCTCACCTTAAATTTTAGTAACATTTTGAATCATTAAGGCTATATATAAACAAAAGAAAAGTATTAAAATTATCTTTGAAATAAATCAGATCTATTGAAACAATTTGATCATGAGAAAAACATAGTAATTTTACAAAAATGTCGTAAACGACATAACTGACAACTTATGATTCATATATGCTCATTTTGTTTAGGTTCATATCAATGTCCAAGTAAACTTTTATTTTGTACTTTATTGGTATTTGTTTTCTTTTACATTTGAATCGTAGAGGCAAAGTTGTCCATCACTAACTAGATAAGAAAATATCTATCACTTTTGAGAGTGTAATTTTTAGTGTCATTCGAAACAAGATAGCTAAATAGCTTCTTGATTTCGATAAAAGTCTTCTGATTTTTCTCCAGATTTGACAAGCCTGCTTTTTGTGAAACACTATCTAAAAGGAGTGTTGAAGTGTATAGTGGTACACAGTTGCATTTTCTTCCCTTCTTTTCATCACAGAGCATAGAAGATGACTTCAGAAAGCATTATAGATCGTTATAAATGTTGATACACGATTGCTGATAGTATATCAATAATAGCTCTTTAGAATGTATTAATTTCTTATGACATTTCTGAGCAATTGAGTAAAATGAGAGATGAAGAAATGTATTCTGAAATCCATAGAATAAAGTAATCTTCCTATAATTAACAAGAGTACCTACGTGTATCATGTTTCACATTTTAATACCGTAGAGATTGCCCTAACAGTTTTTCTGGCTGTTTACTTCCTCTTGTCCTTATAATCAAACGCATTTTTCGGGATTCCTCTGCCTAGAGCAAATATGTCAACTCCCAGGTCGAAATAGCTATGTCGGATCCTGTCGGATAGGTTTCAAATCCGTTGAGATACGGCTAATCGGATTCGGCCGGTTACTTTTTGTCGGATTTCGATGCTATCCACTGTTTTCCTTTGATATCCGCCGGTCGGATTCATCGAGTTCCGACTAGATTCATATATTCGGAACTGGTCAGATCCGATCTCAAGATGTGTTCGCTTCCGATGGGATTCCGGGAAATCTGATGTCAAGAAATCGCCGGATTTTGCGGTTTCAAGTGACACCGGATTCCATGATAAAACCGATCAATCACTGGTATCGGAACTTGTCGGAATTATGTAAGAATGCAGAATACTCAGGTCAATCTCACACCATCGGATCCGATGGAAATTAGTTGGAAGTTGTCGGATGTTGGAAAGTGTCGGATTTTCAGAGTTCCGACAAGATCCCGGCCACTTCCGACACTTTCCGACATCCGACAACTTCCTGTCGGAATCCGATACCAAGGATTCCGACGAATTGCCATCGGATTCGATAAAATTCGATAATTTTTCCGATAGGATCCGACGAGATCCGACTGTCGGATTGCTCGTTCTGGGTATCCAGTATTATTTTCCACGTAGTCAGATTCATGAATTAGAATATATTCTGACAGATCAATCAGCTAATCATCTAATAAGATATTTCTCTTTTTACAAATTTCCAACAACAAAATCAAAAATCTGGAAATCCGATTTCGTCCAGATTTCATTCACCGTTTCGTTCTACAGATATCGATCTATATAAAGAAGTCTATACTTTAATATTTTGAATGAATTTCCAAAGTGTTGCTTAGTTTAATTTTACTTCAAATGATTTGTTTTCTTTATAAAATTATGTTTTCCACGCAATCGGATTCTTGAATAAGATTATATTCTGACGGATCAATGAGCTAATCAATTAATTAGATATTCCTCTTTTTACAAAATTCCAACAACAAAATCAAAAATCTGGAAATCCGATTTTGTCCAGATTTCATTCACCGTTTTGTTTTACAGATATCGATCTATATAAGGAAGTCTCTACTTTAATATTTTGAATAAATTTCCAAAGTGTTGCTTAGATTAATTTTACTTCAAATGATTTATTTCCTTATACAATTATGTTTTCCACACAGCGGATTCATGAATTAGATTATATTCTGACGGATCAATGAGCTAATCAATTAATTGGATATTCCTCTTTTTACAAATTTCCAACAACAAAATCAAAAATCTGGAAATCCGATTTCGTCCAGATTTCATTCACCGTTTTGTTTTACAGATATCGGTCTATATAAGGAAGTCTCTACTTTAATATTTTGAATAAATTTCCAAAGTGTTGCTTAGATTAATTTTACTTCAAATGATTTATTTCCTTATACAATTATGTTTTCCACACAGCGGATTCATGAATTAGTATTTATTCTGACAGATCAATCAACTAATTAATTAATTTATTAGATATTCCTATTTTTACAAAATTCCAACAACAAAATCAAAAATCTGGAAATCCGATTTTGTCCAGATTTCATTCACCGTTTTGTTTTACAGGTATCGATCTATATAAGGAACTCTCTACTTTCATATATCAAGTGAATTCTGCCATTTTGTATAACTAAGTTCTATATATTAGGAACAATCTTAGTACAAGCATTGTTCAATTTTAAGAAGGATCGTAGTATATACATTGTTAGATTCTAGGAATAATCCCAGTTGAAACAGTTGAAATCCTTTAGGATCTTGATGACATCCTGATGCAATCTTTAGAAATTTTGATAACATCCTGGTGAAATCTGTTCAAAATGTCGATTCAATCTTTGGAAAATCTTTAGAATTCTTGATGAAATCCTTGGGAAATCTTCGTGAAATCTCGACGAAATCCTTGAGAAATTTTTATAAATCTTGATGAAATCCTTAGGAAATCTTCATAAATCTTGATGAAATCTTTGCGAAATTTTCATAAATCTGGATGGAATCTTCATAAATCTCGACGAAATCCTTGAGAAATATTTATAAATCTTAATGAAATCCTTGGGAAATCTTCAGAAATCTCGATGAAATGCTGGGGAAATCTTTAGAAGTCTCGATGAAATCCTTGAGAAATCTTTAGAAATCTTGAGGAAAATTGGATGAAATTGTCAGAAATCTCTAGTAAATCTTTGGAAATTTTGAGAATGCTAGAATGAAATCTGTGTGAAATGTTGATTGAATCCTTGTGCAATCGAAACAGATTCAGCCAACTTCTGATGAAATCCGACTGTATTCTGTCGGAGCCTTACGTTATCAAGCGTTTCTCTGTGAAAGGATCCTGGTGGTTACGGCATTATCTGACAAACAGTTCCGACAGGATCCGATCGGATCCTTTCCGACGTAATCCGGTCCGGAATCCCTTAGTTAGGAATCCTGTGAAATACGGTTGGGTTCCGATCGGATTTAGTTGGGAACCCGACGAATTCCGTGTGATCCGACATCGGATCCGATAGTTTCCGGTAGGATCTACAGGTCGGATTGAATCACCTGGGCTCGTGTATGTGTTTTTCAACTCGTGAACAAATTCGACACATTGTGTCTTTTATTAGTTGTTTTTTCTTGCATCAGCTATATGTTATTTTCACTATTTTGTCTTTCTTTATAGTGAAGAACGTTTGAAAATAAAGTGCAGGTCAATGAAATAAAAGTAGTGGAACATTTTATGTAAATAATTGAACATGGAAGCCGCTAGTTCGATGAAAAACGGTCTTTCTGATAAGTTTCTGATTTTCCGAAAAAATTTTCTGATCATTTTCCGATTTTAGTAAAAAATTATCTGATTTTTGAATTTTCAATCTGGTCACCCTGATCTATAGACAAAAAATTATTAAAATCAGAAGAAGAAGATATTTGAGGAGGTTCCATCGTTATCAATAGCAATACCAACTTTCCTCACATGAGCTACAAAAGAAGACTAATCGAATTACATTAAAGATATTGTTCAAGTTGCTTTCGCATCTTCATCTTTTCTTTACTCTTATTTTCGTCTATTCATAAATCTTCAATAACTTGACAACAAGACCATCAAATTGTGATTGAATTCATATTGTTCTTTTTTATCTTTAACAGTTAAATATATAAGATGATCAGAATAAAATTTAAAACCACGTCGACATGTTGTACGACAACATAAAAATGTATGAAGTTCTCCTAATTGATTATGAGATATTTCTTCATTTATAGCATTCTCTTCTGTCGATAGATTATCAACTAAATGATTAATAGTATTTTCTACTTTAGTCATTTATAAAAGAAATTCAACAACAAGAAAAAAAAAGATGAATTTTCAATTTGCTAGCATAAATAAATTTTCAAAGGAATTCTTTTTTAATTTTCTAAGTACCAAAAACGAACTGTCTTAATATAATAAGAATATTAATTGATGAACCGATTAATGAACATTTTGCATGTGCTGGCATATCATCTTTACCTTCATCTGAATGATGATAAGAATTATCTTCCAGTACAAATTTATTAAATATTGGTTCTCTGCAAACATGTACATCATATACAACATTTTCATTAATCAATAATGATACATTTGTATGTTGAAAAATTCAATTTGTTTTATTTCAGGTATTTGTTGTAAAATTTCGTTTGTTACTAAGTAAAAACCCCGGTTTTTTTGATGATAATCTTAGAACTTTTTGATAATTTACCATCTACAAGTTAAAGATAAACTGAGAGACTTTCACTTAGCAAAGAAAAAACCTTTCATATACATATCAAGATGATCATAGTAGTCAAATATAACTGATTTGGAAACAAAAGGCAACAGCAAAACAGAAAAAAACAAAAATTTTATCATTGTTTGAGTGTCATTTATAAATCATTAAAACAGTTCACAAAGTTCATCGATCAGTAAAAACACGTACAATCTAATTGAAATCACTAACTACAAGAACTTTCAATAAAATGAACAAAAAATTACTAGAAATTTTACTTGAATAATGTTTTGGATTTTCAAAATCTTTATAAACATTTTTCATTATTATATCACATAATAGCATATGTATGCATTGGCAGTATTTGAAATTTCAGTTGGTTTTACTTTCATCGTTGTTAATAATGCGATATGAACTACTTTTATCTATAAAAAATATATTTATTTAATTAAAATTATTTGTATTATCCATTGAATTGTAAAACAATAAAATGTATTCTATTTTAAAGAATATATTAAAATCTATTTAATATGTTCGTCTGTCTCTATAGATTTTTCATAATTAAAATAATTTTTTCTACGCAAAAATAAATTTATAAGCTTTCGAGTATTTGTATTTCCTAACCAAGAGGTTTGCCATAAAATGAGAACAAAAGAGGCCAATCGATAGAGGATTTCAAGTTTTGTCAGTTTCTACAAAACGTTTTTGTTTTCGATGCTGACCTTTATCTTCAAAACCTCATCAATTTTCGGGTGTGGATAGATGTGAGTCAAGAGGGAAAAACCGAGACTTCAAGTACTTTAATCGTGCTTTAGAAATACTTGAAGTCTTGTTTTTCCCTCCTTTTCTACCTCTCATAGCCCAGACCCTATACTCACACACCCATGCTTGCACTCACACCTACTCTCAGCTCATACCCACTATACCCGCATGGATATTCCTTCCATTTCTGACTGCTTCTGGACACTCTTGAGTTTAATGACAAAAACGAAGGGATTTTGTTTAAATCGAATAGGACTTGTTGACAAGTCAATTTTTTTGTTTCTGTCGATCAATAGCTATGAGAATTCGATTCACTTTAATAGTTCTTTTTTATAGATGGTGATTTATATAGACAAAAGAATAATTGCTTCACATCGATATACATATACAATTTCTCATCGTCAATGTGAAACCTCTCAAAATCTTGCTTTGTAATATCTTCGTTGTTGAAGAGCCAAATGGTAACGAAAAAAGTCACTTTTTCACACTTAGTTGGTTTTTTCCCACAAACGTATATTTACTTGAATCAATGAAACATAACTTTTTTCATCACTTAGACGGTTTTCTTTGAAAGTGATGATCATACAAAAATTGTCGAAAGCTTCTAGATAAATAAATGAAAAATTTCATATTGTTTTATTTGATCTTTCAATTTATCAATAACTCTGCTGACAACTCAAACTTAATTAACTGCATCCGAATAACATATGGCTAATGTGCTTCATGGGCCCCCCCCCTCCCCTCAGAAAAGTCAATTTTGGTCAAATTTATCGATTTTGTGATTTATAACTCATTAGATAGAGCTAAATGTCTACTCTCGAATGCACTATAGTTGATTGATTTTGTCATGAGATTTAAGGATATTACATAGGTTTTTCCGAACCCCCATATTGAAAAAAATAAGGTTTTTAAAAACTTATTTTTCGTTTTTCTCAAAATCAGGTTTTTTGTCATGCAGTTTACGCGGACAGGTTTTCTCCATAACGATTCGACATGGAAGTGATAATTTTTTTTTATTATATAGGAGACATGTAAGGCTAGGTCTTAACAGGCTCCGATTTTTAAATTTCTCTTTTGCTAAAGTAAAAAAACTTAGATAGTTCATTTCTATTAGCACCTCGAATTTGAATATTTTTCGAAAAACATTCTTTAAAAATCAAATAAAGGGAAATTCAAAAATCGGATCCTGTTAAGTCCTAGCCCTAAGGGTACTCTACAACTTGGAAATCGCGCAAACTTGTTAGCTCGTATCTTTATTGTGAAATTCTTGCCCGCGTAAGGGGTAATGAATTGACTAGAACTTGTGCATTTCTTTGAGATTTGTGGGAGATATTTTAACCATAAGCTATTCTAGTCAAGACTAACATTCTCTGAAATTTTGGTTGAAATCGGATGAAAAATAACAAAGTTAGTTTCTGAGGGGAGGGACCCTCAAGAATACTATGCCCATTGCACGTTAAAATCGTCTCGTCGAAATATCCATCGGAGGACAGCTTGGGTTCATTTTACATTAATTTTTGTTTGAGATTGTGCGATAAAATCTAGACGATTGATCCAGCAAAAATGAACAGATTCACACAGAGACACAATCATACCCGCATTCATAATCACACCCACACTATATTTTCAGAAGAGATCTTTTCGAATAACTCGTGTTGATTGACGATTACATATCTCAAAGCGCGGTATATAAAATGTTCGTAGATATGTATAGATATAATATCTATCAAGTCGTACAAGTTTTGGGTCAGAATTGATTCAAATGAGTGTTCATTGCCATCGCTCTGGTATTCGTAGATTTTCAAGTATGCTGGAGAAGTGTTCGTTGATTATCACAGGTATAAAAGTGTTATTCGTAGAAAAATCTTGGCTTTCATAATTCAAATCGACTTTTGAAGTTGTTTGAAATTGGTGTTTACAGATTTTATTGAATGTGGTTCGTTAAGGTCTATTTACATATGTAAATGGATCTAAGCTTTTTTCCTTTCCAGAGATTCGTAAATGTTCATCTGCTTTACAACTGGTCTCTCACAGCAAAGGAGAGTGTGAGTCCTCTCTTAAACCACAAACTCTTCAATCAATATGTCTTTACATTGTTGTAGTTAGCTAAATGAGTTTCACCACACAAATAGTATTTTTACCTATGACATAAGGTTCTTTGAGAGAAAAACAAACGCTTTGTGATTGGACTCTGCTAGGCGGAATATTGAATAGATACGTGTATATATGAATGATTGAAAAATTTTTCACTTTCTCCTGTGAAATTTGTGCCTTCCTGTACTGTCATTTAAGTTATATCTCAACTTGCTGACGTTGTGTGATGCTTTTGAAACGAAATCACATGACAAGTTTCATCCGTTGGGTAATGTTAATGTATCCATCTTCTTCTTTGCCTTAACTCCAATTCTGACTCAATCTCTACTACTTAACATTTTCGCAAATATGATGAATGCTATTCACTTAATATATTTCAATATTGACATTTTCGTCAGACTATTGCTATTTTCTGGTATTTACTAAGCCCAACTTTATTTAATCCATATCTATTTCATTCAAATCTCATTGTATCATAAGAATCTACTACAAATCGTTAAGTGATGCATTATTGTATGTGCATTTTGTCATTTTTTGCATCATCAGCCATTAGTTACAATGTTGATGATTACAATATTCGTGGAACTATTACTCCCGGATGGGATTTTGCTCTGGATCTGTTCAAAGATAATTTCATACAAGATCGAGATTTGGGTGCATCAGTAGCAGTATATCATCAAGGTCAATTGGCCTTTGAATTATGGGGTGGTTGGTTTGATCAATCAAAAATAAAACCTTATGATAACAATACATTGCAGGTGGTCTTTTCATCAACGAAAGGACTAGTGGCTACGGCAGTTGCGCTTGCTGCTCAACATGGTCATATCGATTATTCGGCATTCGTCACTCGTTATTGGCCAGAATATGGACAAAATGGTAAAGAGAATACGACAGTGGCAGATATTCTCTCACACCGTGCTGGACTACCAGACATTTCATCACCATTAGAGCAATATCTGAACTGGACAACAATGATCGAAGAATTAGAACAAAAAGCACCGGCGTGGCCACCAGGATCAGCCCACGGTTATCATGCATTAACTTATGGTTGGCTTGCCGGAGAACTGGTAAGACGTGTCGATCCAAAGAAAAGATCGTTGGGACAGTTTATTCAAGAAGAAATTTCGAATCCAATAATGTTAGAATTCTATATTGGTCTATCAAGTGAGCATGAACATCGGGTATCACCAGTGGAATTGAGTCGAAGTTCGAGAGAAACGCTGAATGAATCGACTATCACTCTTTTGAATCTGTTCAATGAACCTCGTGCACATCAAGCAGAAATACCAGCTGGAAATGGAATTACCAATGCTCGGTCATTAGCGAGACTTTATGCATCATTAATCAGTGATATAGATGATGGCAAATACAAGCGACTATTAAATGAAAATATTCTAGAACTAGTAACGAAATCGAACACACCCAAAAATGAGACCGATCTTGTATTTCAAATACCTACAACATTTGCAATGGGTTTTACACTTTTTGATGATATTTTTCCAGAATTCGGACCAGGCAGTTTTGGTCACACGGGTAGTTTGTACATTAATATTTGGTTATTGTGTAAATTAAACTTGACCCATTTTAGGAGCTGGTGGTAGTATTGGTTTTGCTGTGCCATCGAAAAATTTCTCATTTGCCTTTGTTATGAATCGACTTGATACAACTACAGTATACGTAGATGTTCGCATAAAATCCATTCTGGCTAAAATTGCAGCATTGATTAATAAATAGGTATTGTTCAAAGTGATACATTACCTGGAACGTTATAAACTTTGTACTATCTATCAATAAATTTTCAATTACAATCAATAGGCATCAGTGATAAGAAATTACTTGAAGAAAGAGAAACAAAAGATATTGTCGTACACATAGTCTTCAATGCAAGGAAAAGAATCTTACCAAATTCGATTATCATAAAAGTAACTAGGTGATTGCAGCGCATACTATTTGAATGTCTGTATCATAGGTATGAATAGGTTTACGGAGAGAATCCCTACCCATTGAAGTCCATACTCAGGCTTGAAGGTGATAACCGTGAGAAACATAATGAAATCGTATTTTATTCTGTATAATTACTCGATATTACTCACGCACACGAGCGAAAAATGTTTCAAACAAGAACAGTCTATGTAAAATACATAAAAAATCAAGTCAGTTCTGTAAATGAACTTTTCCGGGTTGAATTCCCAACTTCATTTATTTCTATCAAAAAAAATACCTCTTGATAACTGTTTCAATAAATTCCAATGTGTTTAGGCAAAGAGAGATTTTCTTCTTTTACCAGTGACATGAATTCAAAATTATAGCATTACTATTACAGGATAAACTGTGATAACTTGATCGACATACTTTCTTTTTTTTTTACAATTGTACTCATTTTGTTATAACAATAATGCATAGAAAGTTTTATTAAAGTGTCCGAAACAATCGTATCTTGAACACAATATTGATGAAAGACGATAGTTTCGAGCAAGAATCAAACACAATTGTATTCGATCAACTAATGTGATATCTTTCTATTTTTGTTCTTGCGATGGCATTTAATCTTTTTTTGTGAACATATTTATATAATGTCTTTTAGAAACTTCATACGTATGTAGAACTATTCAGTTTCGTTATCTCTACGAAATGATTGATTGATTCTTTTCCTTGCGCGTTTTTAGTTGATACTAGGAATATGACTTTTTTCGGCTTGTTCACGTGACGTGACACTTCGTTAATCAAGTTTTTGAAAATTTTGGTTTGAATTGAACAGGTCTAGATGCATTACTAAGAGCAGTTCCTCGCGCCAATTACCACTGTTGGCATGCGTTCTTTAGAAAGAATTGGATTTTATCATCGAAAACCGTATTTTAACTGTCCAGAAATCAAATCTTGAATTTCATGAACAAGATTTTCTTTCAAAATATGCTGAGTCGTACATTCTTGCACAGTTTTCAACGTATTGTATAGTTAATGAGCTCCTGTTTTGATATGCCAACTTGATTCTTGTGTAGAATGATCAAATTTACAGAAAACACCAATATTTATGAGAATAAAAAACTATTGTTGAGCACGTTAGGTATCTCAAAATTGGTCGACAAAAAACAGTACAATAGCGTGTGAATGTGGACAAGCTATTTTCTTCATCTCATTTCTTTTTTCTTTGAAATAATTTTTTATGAAACAATTTAGTTTCTTCTACATGAGTGAAAAATTGAATAATCGTCTCTTTCCAACTTGCAATTCTCGTTTTTTTCTCTCACAGTCTACTTACATTGATTGCGCACATAAGCACTCTGGAAGCTTTGTATCAGCCAGTTATTTCTGCGACTCAAAATATGTGGCAAGCTTAGTTGAGATTTAGGCAAAATTAAACAATCTCAAAGATTTAAAAAAACAAAAAGAAACACTGAAACGGATGATAATAAAGATTTGATTTTGTGTATTAATATTAACCCTTTCAGTCCCAAATTATTTCTGTTGGATTCAATTCAAGTAGACTGTTATATTAACTTAGTTTAGACACAAACACAAGACAAATATTTCGTGTGCACTCGCATGTGTTGTACTCAGTATAAGTTTTTATTGAATTTTGTTATACTTGAGTAGAAATTTTAATTGCTAAAATTTATTAATGGCAAAACTTGCAAACAAAAAACAATTTTTATTTTTTTTACACAAACAAAAATGCCACAAAAACTGCATTTTATACTACTAAACACTGGAGAAGCTCGTGTACTGCAATATCTTTATCTTCTTTTAGGCTCAGCAACAGGCATATGTGCTAACAATTGAGCTGATGGAGATTTGTTCCCCAGCGTTTGTTGAATTTGTTTTTGTTTTCTGGCAGAAAAGTGAATAAGTTCCCCTCCTGTCTTCCGTGAACTTTGGTCACCAATCAGAACTTGCTCAATGAACGACTATATATCTTCTTTGCAGATAGTTGGGAAGAATTCTAGAACACTCTTTATTGCTTCATTTCAAGAGATTAGGTACTAATTTGTCTAAATTATGTTGTGAAAAATAATTATAAAACATTTGTAGCTTTTTTGCTACTATGGAACTGAAAGGGTTAATAATAAAACTATATTTTTAGGAGTATTTTTTGTGACAGAAACAAATAAAGTTGTGAATTCAAACAGGAAAACTATATTTACTGAACTTATTTGATTATTTATGCATTTTACATAGACCCTTCTTCTTCGGAGTACTCTGCCAATGATTGTTCGAATTAGAAACAGTGTTCCTAATAAAGACAAAATTGATTACTCACAAATTATTGCTAATTATTCAGCTAATTTTCAAGATAACTGAATGATTTTTGCAACATTCGATCCAACAAGCATTTCTCTATTTAATAATATAAAAAATATATAAACTTTCTTAGAAATTGCTTAACAATAACGAAAAATATTCGTGTTTACAAATAAAAAAGCTGCTTGAATTAGAAACATTGCCTGTGTATCGCAACAACTCAAAAGTGCTTGTTCACAGTGTTGTCATAAAATATCATTGAAGCAAATGAAACTGAAACAAGTAGTGATGTGAAAATGTGTAAGCAAGAATCGTTTTATCGTATTATCAACGGACGCGAATTCATCCTAGTTGAGTGAATATTTTATGAGAAAAAATAACAGAAAATTATATCAGAGACCTATTATGCATACAGAATTGTCGTTTCATTTAAAACGAGAAACAATGGTATCGTGGTTGTTGAAGCGATTGAATGAGGTAAATATGAGTCTATTTCGCTACGAACTTCCATTCATATTTCTCCTCGGCAATATCGGCAATTTTATTAATATTATAATTTTTTCTCGTCGAAGTCTTCGTTCGAATGTATACTCATTTTACTTCATTGGCTTATCGATTGCTCATCTTGTTCTAGTCGATTTTCACGGTATACCTCGAATAATTGCCATTACAACGCAGTCAGATATTACTTGGCAAATATCGGCATTTTGCAAAATTCGTTCATATCTATTCACTTTAGCAATTATTCTCTCACGTCAATTTATCTGTTTGATTTCAATCGATCAATGATTGATTCCTTCGTCGATTGAGTTCAACGCGTATCATTCATCGAACCATTATTGGCAGCGTTACGTTTTGGGGTTTGTTTAGCATTCATTCTCTTATTGGATTCAACAATAATCTCTACGGATGTTCACCATCGATTGACCCTGCTTATACAATGTTCTCTTTTGTTTATGGCATTATCACATCACTTTCGACCCTTGTAAGTTCAATTGACTTGTTCAAAACACAAAGAAAAAATAGAATTTCTTTAAAAATAAGGTCATCATGGTTCTATTCAGTGTACTTGCTTTAATCAGTGTACGAGCAACTGTTAGACGAACAATTAGTCCGACAATCATTAAAAGTACATATTTAAAACATCTAGCAATCCTTCAACAGGAACGACAATGATCAAAACGTGATGTTCAACTTATTCGATTATCCATTCTTCAAGTCAGCATCTTCGTAATACTCAATTTTATCTGGGCAATTTATCCACTCATTAGTTTTATGATTGAAAGACAAAATTCCTATACGGACGATCCAGTAGCTATTGTTTCCTTTTTAGGCACATTCAGCATCAATCTCGTTCATGTATATGCATCCGTAAGTTTGAATGATTTAATCAATCGTTTTAATCATAATTTACTGTTTTTAAAGTGATATTCATTTTGTATACTTGGACTTCGATTGCCTTTCGCAAAGAATGTTTCTCAGCATATTAACAGTGTTTGAATATTGCACGACAACGTTTACAACAATTTAACTAACTTTTAAGCGTAAATTCGAGATCTCTTTCCCCTGTCTTTATCTTAAATATCGTTATAGAAAGAATGTTTAAATGTATCTTTGTACAATGCTTTTGTGCGTGAGCTTCAGTTAATCTTGCCTAGAATAAAAGTTTTGAATATTACTCACATATTCTACTACTAATGTCTTCATTAACGATACTCAATGTAAAATCTTAGCCTTCTATAGAAAAGATAAGAAGTTGGTAGATGAAATAATTATTCAAAAATGATCTTATCGTTGTCAGTGTGATCATTCTATGGCAATCGAGCAATGGGTCATACGCATGCAGAACACTTACTCAAAACAATCTGCCATTTCGTGAACAAGGTTCATGCACAAGAAACTAATAAAAAAAGATACGATTCAATATTGATTGGTTTAACTCTGTTTGAGTTTTCATTTCATTCGTTTCAATTTTGCCCATCAGTATCTCAAGAAGGTTTGCTCTCCTTTTGCTTATATCTCAATCTAGAAATAAAATATGTTTTCAACTTTATCGATCAACAGCAGTAAACTTGAGGATATACGTGTGGAACTTCTCTTCATTGACACTTACACCTGCTATTGAATTAGGTATTTATCATTGAATATAATGTTCTTTGAAATGGTCGTGTAAAACGTAATAACAACAAAAAGCATATGTATCTTTTAGATAAATATCGAGAGTAATATCAACTAGAATATTTTCTTTTGTTAGAATGAAATTTTATGATGATAATTAGCGAAAACAACATGAAAAAGTTGAACTTCGAATAAACTTTTCTTGACAATTCAATTTTAAAAAAATAGATGTTGAGAAAGAAAAACAATAAGAAAGAAATCCGATTTTATGAAACGATATTCATTTTTTTATAACATTCGATAATAACAATACTTCTTAGTCAACTTTGATCAATTGTTGCCATTATCGGCATATTGAATAAGTCCATGTTTTGGTAAAATATTATTTGGAATATCAAAATCGACTACTCTTCCTTGATGCAATACAATAATTCTATCACTTTTAGCAACTGTATTTAATCGATGAGCAATAGTTAATATTGTTCTATTTTGAAATTTTTCTGCAATAACATTTTGAATTAATGAATCAGTTGTTCGATCAACATTTGCTGTTGCTTCATCAATCATTAATATTTTACTTTGTTTTAAAATAGCACGTGCAACACATATTAATTGACATTGACCTGCACTAAAATTACTACCTGATTCAGCGACTAATTGATGAAGACCAGCTGGACTATTAGAAACTATATGTTTAAGTTGAACTGATTCAAGTGCTAAAAGACATTGTTCATCTGTATATTGTTCAAATGGATCTAAATTATAACGAAGTGTTCCAGCAAATAAAATTGGTGATTGAGGAATAACACTTAATCGTGAACGAAGATTATTTAATGAAATACAATTTATATCAATACCATCAATAAAAATTTGACCACTAACAGATTGTCGATCAATAAGACGAAATATAGCTTGAAATAAAGAAGATTTTCCAGCACCTAATACAATAGAAATAAAAAATAATTATTTAATCATATAAATAAACAATACCTGTTCGACCAATAATACCAATTTTCTCTTTGGGTTCAATACGTAAATCAATATTATTAAGAACAGATTCCAATTCTACTCGATAACGCATTGAATACTTCTTAAATTCAATGATTCCTCGATTTGGCCAATCCTCTGATGGTTGAATAAGTAAATCAATATTATTTTCATTTTCTTCCGGTACTAATTGTCCATATTCATATATACGTTCAGCACTTGTCATATAATTTTCTGCTTCAGCTGATTGTCTTACAGCCCACTGAAAAAGCATTGTTAAATTAATACAATACATAAGACTAAGTGCTGCAGATGATGGATCAATACGATGACGAAATGCTATTGTTAAAATGGATGTAATTAAAGAAAGTACTGATGTCATAAGATCAAGTCGTAAACCAAACCAACGTACAGCAGCAATCAATATGAAAAAAGCACGTGAATTTGTGTCAACTCGATTAATAAATAATTGTATAAAATCTTCTTGAACATTGAATGCACGAATAGTTGAAAGTCCACCATTTAACGATGAAGAAAAAAGTGCATAAACAGGACTACGTGTAACGCTTTCTAATCGTTTTATTTGACGACTTGAACGTAAATAAAAACGACGTAACCACCAGAAAGCCGGTAAAAGAGGAATAAGAATAAGCAGTACCAATGGATTAACAATACCAATAATTACTAATGAGCCTAATGTCATTAGTAAACATTGTAAAGCATCAAACAAAGTCATTGGTAATAATTCATCAATGACTTGTTGATCTTTACTAACTCGATTTAAAATACGTCCACTAGGATTACTTTCAAAAAAACGAAGTGATGTATATAATATTCCTGTTAACATTCTATTATGTAAATGATTTGAACTATATAATATTAGATAAAAAAAATATTGAGCACGTATTAAAGCGATAATAAGTGTTCCTAATGTTAAACCTAAATAAACATACATATTCATAGATAATCTTTGTTCTTCATCGGATTTTGCTGACCATAAACTAAGCCATCGATTAGAAATATCGAAGATTGCTTCAGCAATAAACATGATAATAATAAGTAAACAAAAACCAAACCAACCAAAAGGAGTTGAAGAAAATAATTTATACCATATTGACCAAGTTACAGCACCAATAGCAGCTGTTTCATTAACGACAATTGATTTATTATCTGCAGTAGCTTTTGATAAATCAAGTAATAATGGTTGTATTACTTTTTCTTTTTCAGTTTCTTCTTCATCCGTTGTTGATAATATTTCTTTGGTTTGTTCAAGATATCCGTCTGGATTAATTTGACCATCTTTTAAAAATATGATTTGATGTGTTGATTTATGTAAAAATTGTGTTTGATGAGTAACTAAAAGACGTGTTTTTTCTTTTAATAATCCATTAGGTCCAATACATTGATCATAAATTCTTTGAGCTACTTCTTGATCTACAGCAGCAAGTGGATCATCCAATAGATAGATATCAGCATCAACATAGAGTGCTCGTGCTAATGCAATTCGTGCTTTTTGTCCACCACTAATATTAACACCTTTTTCACCGACTACTGTTAAATCACCAACTTCTCCAAATGTAAGTAAATCAACATCAAGACAACATGCTTGTATTACATTTGAATAACGTTGTTCATCAAACGGTTTACCAAGAAGAATATTAGCTCGGATAGTATCAGCAAATATCCATGGTAATTGTGAAGCATATGCAAAAGAACCAAACACTTTTAAATCACCACTTACTAATGTCATTTCACCTAAAATAGCACATAATAAAGATGATTTACCTGCTCCAACAGGTCCTGCAATACCGACTAATGTACCACGGTCTATATTAATTGTAAGATTAGTTAGACATGTTGTTTCTGTCCATGAGAATGATGCATTATTCATTGATATTATTGTTGTTCCCATTTGTGGTTCAGATGTTATGTGTTCTTGTATTTTTGTCAATCTCATAAATGCATCTATACGTTTAGATGCAGCCAACATTTCAGCAAATCGTTCAATAGCTACTGGTAAATAATTTGTTACTGGTACTCGTATCAAACCAAAAAATGTTAGAGCAGTAAAAATATCGACTGGTTTTAACTCATGACCCATGAGCCAATAACCACCAAAAGTTGCTAATGAAATAAGTGGTAATGATGAAAAATATAGACCCATATTAATTGCACGTAAACGACTTGCACGCAGAATACTAGCTAATTCATTTTTGCGTAAATCATACACACGTTGTTCCATTGGTTTTTCCCAATTATACATTTTTACAATTTGGCATCCATTAACAAGTTCATTTATTGCTTGAACACGTTTATCAGCACATGCCATAGTTGTTTTACGATATTTACTAAATAGTCGACCAAATCTTAATTGTAAAGGTATAAGAAGGATAAGTACACCATAACCAAACAATGTAGGTAATATACCAATTGACCACCATATTAAACCAAATGCAACTAATGCTTGAAGTGGTGCTTCCCAAAGATAATGCATATATTGACCAAATTCTTCAAATTTACTTGCATCATTAGCGACTAAATTAATTACTTGTGCAGCTGTTGTTGTTTGTTGTAAAGATGCTGTACTGAGTGATAATAAACGTTTATAAATAGTTGCTGATAATGCATTACGAACACGCATACCCATACGAGTTGTACGAAAATAAGCTTGTTGATGAAGAAAAGCTTGTGTTGCTGAACATGCAAATAAACCTAAAGCATAGAGATAACCCGCATAGACTTCATAAAATGTTGTCGATGGTTTTGATTGAGATTTTTGACTAATGATATATAATACAATTTGTCGAAGAAGAAGTGGCTGAGCAACCCGTGCTGCATTATACGGTATCAATAGAAATATGACAAAAACACATTGTTTCCAAAAAGCTCGCATAATTATATGCCATGTGGTTGTATTTGTTAACCATAAATTATTATCACTATAATAACTAAGTTTATTTAATAATCCAGAACATTTATCATTCACTGATAAATCATCAAGATCTTCATCAGTTAATTCACGTTTATAACCTAATGAAAGTATAGGATTAAGCCACCACCAAAATAATACATGAAAGAAACGTAAAATAGATGAATGAGCCCAGTCAAAACGACTTGATTGTCGCTCCATACCTTTGTATTTTGATAAAAAGAAAACATTGATACACTTTATTCATTCGTTGTTCTCTTTCTTTACATATCATATTTAACTAAATTTTTCTATCTTTATCTTCTATTCTAAAGAATACACTATCATGTTGTTGCGTTTTTTATTGAAGTCTTTCAACGTTATATGACACATTTGTTTTTATATTCTGTCATGAGGACATTTTATATATCTTTTTTTCACATGTCCTAACAATAGGATGCATTCCATTGAATAAGTGACTTTTGAAATAGACCTCAAATGACTCAATAAATAAAATTTTGCATTAAAGCTATGATAGACAAGTTGATTCACCAGTGATCGGTTTAAGTTAGGACATATAAAATAGTACTTTCTGTTATGATCATGATGATCCTCTTTTTGTTTTGACCATACCGTTTGACATCTCAATTTATTTCATGTTGTTTCGAATATTCAAAAAAAATCTAGCGGTAGTATAAAACTTATTGTCAGTATGTTTATAACTGTTATTGAAGTCTCAATAAGTATTCTTCGTTTCAAGGTTTCTTCGCTCTTTGATCAAGACGATTACTGATAATCTCATCGATACTGTGAATAGAAATAATTGGCTATCGTTAAGTGGAAATATGTCGATATTTGAAAATTAATTAGATATATCGAAAAAATGCGATGATTAGTCTCAAAATACATTTGAATTACCTCGGAAAACATTAGTCTTAGGCTCATAGTGATCATTTTTAATGATATGACATTTCAGAATTATCTTTTAAACGCTTTGAATTCATCAGTATTATAAAAGTATTCGATCGTGTCTAATGTAACCTACGTGATAATCTTAGTGATTTTCTCATCTATAATCAATGTCGTATGTTCCTCTGAGACATTTTTCAGACATGAACTAACTAATAGTTTTTTCTTGTACATATATCTATATTTGTGTGGTAATGAGAAAAAAAAAGATTAAGTTTGTTTTATTTTTTTGTCTTTTTTCTATACTTTATCTATTTAACCTCTATGCTACCTTTTATCGGTGACATGAAAGATAAGTATACGTTTTTATCTCTCAAGCAAACCATAAACAAAGAATTGTCAATCTTCTCTTTGCAAGAAAAAAAATACATAAGACATCTAGGTGTCTTCTCTTTTTTTAACTCTCTATTGACGCATCAAATCTGTTAGTCACTGCAATATTTCCAAATGATCTAATCATTTTCTTATATATGAACCACTATGGTTGAGTAATTATGTTGTTCAACGCATATCTTCAAAGTTTTGTATCTGAACCTCAGTATCATAAGTCATGAATTAAACTTGAGCAAGGCATGTGCAGCTGTTTGCCTTGGATCAACTGTTCATAAAAGCAATTAAACAGAATAACAGAACGGAAGAGCTACATATCCACTAGCAACAAGATAAGCAACTAATCAATTTATTATGTATAATGATGATTTAAGAAGAATAAAAGCAACTTGACCATGTTCTTCATACATTTATATTTAGATCTAGATAATATCAAATGTCCAGAGAATAAATAAAATTTTCCATTCTTTCAATAATTATCCTTATTACTACGATTGTAGAAGTAAAACTGTGTTTTTGATGGAATAGATACTCATTTAATCCTTAATATTATGACAACTATTTAGTATTTTTATTAACAATAAATATATCTTTTACATTTATTCTTTTAATTAAATTAAATCAAGTTTAATAAAAATATCAACTTGCTGAAACAATGTATTATTTGTCCTTTAGCTAAGTATAAATACACATTGTGGAAGAATTCTTCCGTTTTCAAGTCGATGATGTATTTCAATCAGTAATCTGAACAAAAGTCAAATACCATATCGAAGTATAAACATATTTTTTGAGAGAAAAGTACACAAACCAGACATATTTAGTATGCACAAAATAAAACTCGGCTCCTCTTCGCATACTTCTGTAATTTTTCTAAAACATTAATTGATAGCAAATAGCTAACCGAATAATGTCAAGGTGTTTATTATTTGTACTATTTACTCATTTATTCAGAAACGTGCAGCCGATTATATTTCAACATTCATTAAAAGTTTTCTGTATATTCACTCAAAAACTAATTCGATGTATATTATTTTTGAAATATAAAAGATTGTCAAATAAGTAATAATCTTTGAAATGTAAGTTATTCAAGCTACACTTGAATTTTTAAGTTTATTTTTATAAATAACCAACAAACAGTTATTGCCTCTACTGAAAATAATTATTCTTTAATTAGCCTAAATCTTAATTCTCCGATAAGTTATACATGACAGACAAGTAATTCTTATTTTTTTAGGTTCTGAAATAAATCAACAATAGTTTTTAACAAGAATTTCCATTTCCAATACAAAAAATATTTATGGTCTCTCCATCATTGATAACACATTACTATATACATTGTCATGAAATCAGCGAAATATTGTTTCATAGAAATACGAAACTTTAATACAGTCAAAAAAAATTTTCTTAATGATCCAGCAACTTCGGTCGGTTCCTTTTTAACTGTAGTTAAATGCAAAAGAATGCGATTTATTAACATTCTATTTGATTGGCGTATCTATTACGCATGAGGTATAGAAATTGCCAAGTGAATTATGAATTATCAAATAAGATATATTATATTTTCCTTCTCTCTAATTGGTTTTTCTTAATAATATACTATCAAGAGAAGAAGAAAATAATTCATTATGATCCATAAATTACATCTTCATCAATAAAATTTAATTTTTAAACTATATATGAACAAACTGAATAAAATTCAAGAAGGTCAATTCAAAGTAAAAGTAAAAGAAATCTTGTCAGAAGATACTCAATTTTAGTTGATAATTAATTTTTCTTTTTCCAATTATTAAATTTCTATTAAATATATATTCAAAAAAAACAAATTGAACAAAATATCCACTTGATCCATCTTTCACTAAAAAACCAAGACGTCTAGAATGTGATTTTTACTAATGGATTTTTTTTTTCGTCGTTTTTTTTCCAAGACAAGTGATCCAATATCAAATTAAATATTGTTCTATTGACAATCAACAATAAAAAAAGAAATTAAGAAAATTTTTTACTTTGAATTAAGATTAACATATTTTACCGATGCAGTCTTTTTAAGATATATATTCAAAACTTATATGATGAATGAATATGTTTACAAAAATTGTCTCAATGTTACTGTTGTGTTATATTGAATATCTATGATATAGTATCATTAATTCATTGTAATGAAGCGATCATGGGAAATTTTAATCAAGACAAATGTTCACGAAGAAGAATTATCAAACGATTTTTATACAGGAAAAATATCAAATAGACTACAATTTTGGTTACTTCTTATTTTCGGAGTGCCATCATTAATCTGTTCTCTATTTATAATTTATCAATATCTATTAGATCGTACACGTCGTCATGCATTACACAATCATATTATTCTACTAATCATACTGGCAAATGTAATTCTTATTTGTACAGATTTTTCATGGATGTTAGATAGTTTTCGTCGTTCAGGACATGTTTTATCAGCAACGCCAGCTTTTTGTATGATTTGGTGGTTTCTTGATTTTAGTTTGTATAATACTCAAACAGTTCTACTTGCATGGGCATCAATCGAACGTCATATTCTTATATTTCACAATAAAATGATTACAACAACAAAACAAAAAATTTTCTATCATTATCTTCCACCAGTATTAATTCTTATTTATTTATTTAGTTTTTATGTTGCTGTTATATTTCTACCACCATGTCACAATCAATTTAGATATAATGCTGTTGAATGTGGAGCAAATCCTTGTTTCTTAAGTGTAGAAATTCTTGCTTTATGGGATTCAATTGTACATAGTGCTTTGCCTACTCTTATTATTGCTATATTTAGTCTTGCTTTACTTTATCGTGTAATTGCACAGAAAAAACGACTTCGACAGCCTATTCAATGGCGAAAATATCGACGTATGTCAATGCAACTTCTAACACTTGCAGCTGTTTATCTATTTCTTAATTTTCCTTTAACAATAATTATGCTTGTACAACTTTTTCAAGATACAGGACGTCATTTTGGCTTCGGAGCTCAACTTTATGTTTTCTTTCTTACATATGCTATTACACTTTCATTACCATTTGTTGTATGTCTCAATTATTTAACGAATGATAAACATCAACATCAAAGAATTTTTCCAATGCTCACAGTCTCACAACATCAACGAATGTTTGCTAGAGATATATCAAATACTGTATAAATAAAATAATAGATATTTTTTTCTTTAACAATATAGATTCGTATTACTATTGTTAATCGTCAGAAAGTATTATCATCGTATATTTTTAGGTAAAAGAATAAATCGAATTAAATAAATACATATGTATACAAAATAATAAAAGTTATCTTATAAATTTCAATGATTCTATGTAATGAGTTGTATGATATTTTTTTAAAGCATTCAAAACCTTTCTTGTTAATCAATCTTTGTCTTTTCTTCATTTTTGACATTACTTGAACAAAAAAATATATCTCTCACAAAAAAAATGTTTTTCTTGTATTCAAAAATAAATAAATTCTTTTTTACTTAGATTTTGCATCGACAAAGAATAGCATCATCGTGAAGGAGTTATTTGTATACATATATGATTCTATTTCATTTTCCAATATGAATTGATTGTTTAGATATTATTGATCAATCAATGTATTTCCTTTTCTGTCCATAGACTATGTTCAAATCGTTCATGCTGTAAATACCTGAAAATATCCATTATCTTGCTTGCTGATCGTCATGGGAAGCTCATGCTTTGAATTTGTTAGTTTAGCAGTGAGAACTTTGTTTTTACTCGAAGATGTCTAATGTTCTTTACTAACCATAGAAAATTTTTCTATTGCTAGTATTCTAGAATTTCTATGACGATTGAAGAAACTAGTTTTTGGCAGTTGATTTGTCTGGCTGTAGAAAAACTTCAGGAGAAAATAATGGTAAATTGATATAGTAATTACTGAAACGTAATCTGATTATATTTGGAAAACACTTTCAAAAAAGAATTCACTAATATAAAGTTTTTCTCACATTGTATTCTGAAAGAGACTTATTGAATGCTAGCAAAAACATGACAATCAAAGCAAAAAAGAAAAGATAAGAAATTAGATTTAGAGTTTTTTTCAATATTTTAAAAACGAATGCTACAAAAATATGTATTTTTCTAATCATTAGAAACTTTACTTTGTGTTCAAAAAAGCAATGAAAGCAATAGTCAACAAACAAATATTTGAAAACGGTTCAAATTTTTTCTTTGTTTTTCGTTTGAAAATATGAAACAAAAGAATATTAATTATTATTTCAAATTACCGAAAATCTACCAAAAAATTATTAAGCTACAGAAAGTCATTCAAATCCATGTACAACAATATCTAGATTGAAGTCGAAAAAACAGAAAAAAAATGATTTATTTACATGGAATGAATCTATGTAAGTTAACTGGTAAATTTCCACCACAATTTCATTAATCTTAGTATTCAACGTATATTTTGATTTTATTGAATAATTATGAACTAACAGAAAAAAAAATGATCATTTAAAAATAATAGAACACTAGAAATTTTGTTTTATGCTGATGATAATTATTGCTCACAAGCTTCAATATTTTTCAATATATAGAAAAAATGATAATCATCATAAAATGAATGATAGACAGCGAAAAATGTAATTGGTTTGATAATTATGCTTGTGGAGCTTTTAATTCTGATGGAATAATACAACGTGGAATTTCAACCATTTTATGTAAATTCGCAGCATGTCGTTTGTTATAAATAGCCAAAACTTCTTTTTGTCGATCAGTTAATGTAGCTTCTCCTTCTTTTGTCTTACTTAATTCAAGATGATTCATAGCCCATTCAAGTTCATCATAACTAGCTCCTATTTGATCTTCATCTGTTCTTGTATCACCAAATAAACCATCAGTTGGTGGTGCTTTAATTATATCTTGTCCAACACCTAATACAGCAGCAACAGCACGTACTTCAGATTTCATTAAATCAGCTATGGGACTAAGATCAACACCACCATCACCTTGAAATCAAATATAGACTTAAGATTTTACAAAAATTAAAAACTTTCTTTTCATTGATATTTACCATATTTTGTAAAAAAACCAACACCAAAATCTTCAACTTTATTTCCAGTGCCAGCAACAAGATAATTTTTTAGTGAAGCAAAATAATATAAATTAACCTTTATAAAACAATAGAATTTAATAAATCATTGATAAAATCTAGGGAAAATAATCTTACCATTCTTAAACGTGATCTTACATTAGCAAATGCAAGCTCTGTATCAGCATTAACATCATCAATTTCACTTTTTTTAACTGTTTTTTCAAATGTTTCAAAAACATCCGTTAAATTAACTTCAGCACCTGTTACATTCGAAAAATGTGATGTAAGCCACTCAATATGTGCTCGACTTCGTTGTTTTTCACTTGATGATTGTCGAATGGGCATTTCAATAACAAGTACAGGTAAATCAGTACGAGCACATAATGTTGATACTACAGCTGAATCAATTCCACCTGATACACCAACAACAAAACCTTTTGTATGACTAATATTATGATAATCTTTAAGCCAATTTATTATATATTCAATTACTCGTTTTGTTTGCATTTCAATCAAATCTAAAAATATTGTACATTAAGTGTAAAATTTGACAGGATAATAAAAGTCAAAAAAAAAATACATATATACATTTATGTATACTTAGTCGCACGGATATTATTCTTTTTTTCATTGTTCATTATCAACTATTCTTTGTCACATAGATCACACAAAAGAGACACATAATATTACATATCACAGGGAGTAACACAGAAAGAGAGAGAACGTGTAAAAGCAAACAAAAAATACAAATTATTTCTGACTAGAAAAAAAAAAAGTCAAAATATGAACGCTCAACGTTTCAACATTCAAGTTCAATATAATCGATCATACGCTGTCGAGCCTAAATAAAAATCATAATAAATTTATATTTCTAGCAATAAAAGTTTTTCTTTTTACGTGCATTTGTCGATCATATTAAGATTGACATTAAGCAGGCTAGTGAGTAGCAATCTTTTTTTTTTTTTTTATTAGAAAAAAATAATTATATCCAAGGAAACATACAACAATCAGCACCACGAATCTAATTAAAGGGGAGAACGAAAAACATATGACTCGGATAAACAACAAAAATCAACGGTATGTAAACCGGAAAAAAAATTTCTCAAATTATTGCACAAAGAATAAAATGAGTGTTAAAAAAAATAAAGAAGCAAGAGCAAAACAAGCAGCAAAGCAAAAAAAAATTATATATTGTGAACGCTTATGCAGACGTGCAAAAAAAAATATGATTGAGTCATTGAACTGTTTAATAGTTCACCGAATAATTAAGAATTTGGTTAAGAAAGAAACAAAAAAAAAGATAAAAGATTTTGCATTATATTCAAAATTTGTTTAAATAGAAAAAAAAAATTATTTCAAAATTCGTTTATTATCACAGAGAAAAAAATCGCTGTCTGAAAATTTATTTTATAAAAATAATTTGTTTTTTTTTTCGTTGTATAAAGATATTCTTATAAAAAATAAATCAATTAAATAATTATCATGGTGACCAACAGTGCAATGACTCATATATGAACTAATTTTATCACAATTTCGAACAATCCAATACTTCAAGAGAATTTGTGTGTATTTTACAATTACAAGCGGTAGTCGTCGGAATTCTTTCCAGACTTACATTATCATTATTGTTATTATTTCTTCTTGATTTTGTTGCAACGTATGCTCCATCATCAAATGTATCATCAAGAATATCGTTAAACTGTTCTTGTCTTCGTCTAGATGTTCTTCTTGTTCGTTGTGATGCGTCTAATTGATCACGTACAAAATTAACAAATACATTATCAAGTGTATTTTGTGATACACTATAATCAGTTATACGTTCGTTAGTTAATAAATTTTCAAGTTTAGAAAAAATATCTTTCAATGAAACATGTATTTCAGCTATTTCATATTGTAATATATTTATATGACGTTCTTTTAAGATAAAATTTGATGAAAAACAATCAAGAATTGTTTGATCTAATGTTGAATTTGATGATGATTTTAAACGAATTTTTATTGTATAACCATCACCAAAACGATTTTTTAAATGTTGAGTTGAACCAAGACAACGAAAACAACCATTTACCATAATTGCAATCGATGAACAAAGTACTTCACATTCTTCCATACTAAAAAAATTTTATTTTATAATATTATAAAACTTTATCTTAAAATTATCAATATTGAAATAAGAAAATATCATATGAAATCAAGTATATCGTCAAATAATCGACAAGAAAAAATATCATTTTACACAAAGAAAAGAATAGTAAATTACAGATGTTATGAAATTAAAAAGATCATGTTTTTAAATTTGATCACTAAAAACTTTCAGATTTACGTTATTTTTCTATCGTTGAATTCAGATTATGTCCATGAAAGAAAAATAATCATTTATCAAATTTATATAGTATTGAAGAAGTGTTAATAACTCAGTTTTTAACTTTTATTAATTTTATTTACAAAATTTTGTGAGCCTGATATTGTCAAAAATTGATCATCTTCTGTAAGACTCAACAACAATTTTTGAAGAAAAGTCAATGAAGTTAAGAATTCTTGTAAAAATGAACCAGAATCAAATATTCAATCTATCTCAACAAGCTTTCTCATTACCATACACAAATTTGAACATGAATGAAACTTTAATATATATATATATGTGATCAAACTATATAAAAAAATAATATTTAAATTCTTTGAATTACACAGAATTTATTCATGTTCTTTTCTTCGTTCGAAACTCTGAAAATATTCTACAACGAATAATAAATTCAATTCATATAATAATATTTTTCTTAGTTTAAATATAATTTTATTTTTTTTTTTAGAAATATTTGAAATATATTTACCTATGTGAAGTAAGTATAATTGATTTTCCTTCTTTAACTAAACGTCTAATAACATTCCATAAAAATCTTCTTGATGAAGGATCCATTCCACTTGTTGGTTCATCTAAAAATACAACAGATGGATCACCAACAAGTGCCATAGCTGTTGATAATTTTCTTCGATTTCCTAAAGATAATTTTCCAACAGGTATATTTAAATATTCACAAAGATCTAAACGTTTTAATAATTGTTGAACATGTTGATCTTCATCTTGCCAATAAAGTCCTCTTAAACGTGCCATTAATAACATATGTTCAACAGGTGTTAATTCATCAAAAAGTGCATCAAATTGTGGACAATAACCAACATATTTAAAAACTTGTCGTTTTTGTTTCATACTATCAAAACCATGAATATGAGCATAACCAGCTGTTGGATAAAGATCACCAATTAACATTCGAAATGTTGTTGTTTTTCCAGCTCCATTAACACCACATAAACCAAAACATTCACCAGAACGTATTCCCATACATAAATTATTAACAGCAATTAATTTTTTACGTCTTTTTGTACGATAACATTTCGATAAATTTGACATAATTAATACATTATCATCAAATGTTTTATTTAATATTTGTCTACGAATTTTTGCAACATCTTCATCTTCGTCTAAATGTGAAAATGGTAATGCATCAGGAATTGTTGGTGAATAAAAAAATCCATATTCAAGTAATAATGTTAAAGTCCAAAATACAAGACCACATATTGCCATTGAAACTAAATTTGATACTGTTATATCCCAAATAAATGGTGTACGAATACGATCATTTAAACCAGTTTTTTTATAAAATGAATTGTAATAATCCTATTCAAATTAAATATATGAAATTTATTTATTTTATATAGATTACAAATTTTTTTCATCAAATAAGTTAGTAAACATCATGTCACATATATTATTTTTAAGATCAATTTCAATTTGATATTTATATTACCTAACAATAATCTATAGTGTATTTTAAAATAGATTGACTGAAAGAGTAAATATTTGTTTGTTAATTAAAACTTTAACATCGATTTGACTACAATCAATAGTTGCATAGAATGTTTTTTTACACCTGTTCTATTAAAGAACAATTAGATGTGAGCTTAGTATATTATGTGAATCAAATGTATGTAGTAGTGAATGCAAGGGGGATGGGGGAGAAGTGAGACTTCAGGTTTTTGAAGTCTTACTTTTTCCCCCGTTGGACTTTCTTCATAAAGGTTACATCACAAAATTTAAAAAAACAAACAAGCGGAAACATTTTTTTTTTTCTCTTCTTAACAAAATGAACTTACATTATAAGCAATATCAATTAAACCTCTTCCCAAACAATAATTTGGAAAAATTTTAAATATTTTCTTTATTGTCCTTGTAATAATACTTAATGTTGATGTAGATGGACTACCAAGTGCAAATATTTCAAGAAAAAAAGATGTATATATACATGTTATACCACTAAATAAATTAATAACAATTAAAAAAATATATGCATTGCTTGGTTCAGTAAAACGAAAACTAAATGGATACATGACAGGAATAATTGACCAACCATACATAAGAAATAGACTAATAACAGCAAGAAAATTTTCTCCTTCAACATAAGCAGGAACATTAAATAAACGTAAAATAACAATTACACAAGCAGCAGGTAATAGATAATTTAAAAGATCCCAAACAAAATTTGTTAACCAATAAACTAATGGAAAAAGACCATTTATATATTGAATATGTTTTGATTTTGTTGCACGTTCATAAACAAGAAATAATGTAAATGATGCTGGAACAAATGACATTGCTACGATTATAAATATTGATATAACAACATCAGAACCTTGTAAAATAAATTCTGTTGATAACATATTATTTGTTTCATTCATTGGATCTAAAATTATATAAGAATAATTATTTTCTTTTTAAGTCAAATGAAATTTTTTTCTTATTAGTACACAAACAAAGAATTTCATTGAAAAATTTTTCGTAGACAAATCGATTTGATAGATGTATTGATTAATTTTATTTATCTATCTGAACTTCATTAACGAAAGACTTCACAAGTCAAAGTCAAGAACTGATATTGAAAAATTTTGGTTTTTCAAGACCAAAAGTCTATCTCCAAAAAAAAAGATTTTTAATAAAATTTTCCAAAGCGCTCATGCGACGAGATTTTTTTATATATCCCATCGTCTGCATTTTTATAGAAGACAAAAATTCAACAAAAAAACTTTTTTTCAACTTTTAGAGAAGTAGTTAGATTGGTTTACATCTTTACGTACATAAAGATGATCAAAAAAAGTCATACGTGTTAAACATTATTTTCAATCGAAAATATTCTAATTGACAGAAATCGATACAACTGATATAAACCTGGAAGATCCACCATGGCTCTCCATTTCTTTATCTCGAATAATAATTACTCTTGTAGAATCTTGATTATTAACTAACTTTTTGACTACCAAGAAGTATGTAACGCTCAAGTTTAAAGAAAAGTAATTCGTTATTGATAGTGTTGAATTGATGTACTAATTGACAGCGATGATCGTTGAAGATTTAAATGCTTTTTCAAAAATTTTGCGATGATGAGAGAGAACTAACTGACAAAATACTATACAAGAATATCCGTAAAAAAACTGATGCTGAGTGACAAAAATTTTTATAAACCTAATATCTATTTTTATGTTGCGCTAGTGGCGATTGAAATATTTTGAAGATTTTGTCAACATCCCCTGTGTCTCAGCCAATCGGCTTACACTTCAAATTATAAAGACATTGAGCTCTATAAAAAAAAAACAAGATAATTAGAAACGCATGTCCCTCTAACATTTGATATCTTGAGAATTAAATTATTCTTTCAGGTTGAAATTTTAATTGTTTTTCTAACCATCACGTATTCTATTGTGTAGACAAATTTATACTATGATATTGATATATGTTTTTTGTATACTTACGATTAATTGTAGTAATTCCATAAGCAGAAGGAAGACCTTTTTCAAAAGGTAAATTAGCTCGAAGAATAACGTTTGACATAATATTAATATATAAAGGTAAACTATGATAACCTTTATGATTAGTAAATATTCTTGCAATATTTTTTACAGCTAATTTATGTAATATTTGATTATCTTTATTTATTGGATAATTATCAGGAACATAATCTTGTACTAAACCAAAAGATAAACCACCATAACGATCTAAATGATGATTATCTGCTGTATATAAATAATAAAGAATTTCATTTTGTTCTTTAGTTATATTTAATATTCTATCATTTGTTATTAAATATTGTGATATTGGTTTACGAAATGTTGAACATAGAAATCTTGATTGACTTGTTGAACATTGACAAGGACTATAATATTTTTCTGTAAAAGTTGTATCTGGTTGATAACTTCGATTAAAATATGTTTGATTATTTTCAAACATTTTTGACCAATTAATATCATTTTCTGTAAAAGAATTAAATTCCATATGATAAACTTTTCCACATGATGAACCAGTAAAATTTTCAAATGTTAATCTTGTTGCATTCATATATGGATTATTAAGTAAACATGTTGAACCAATACCTGATGGATATCGTATTGTTTCAGTTAAATCATATGGATTCGCATTTAATCTTGAAATTTGTGAAATATTTCTTAATTTATAATCATTTAAACTAGATACAGGAGTATATAAATAATTTAAATGTGAAAACATTGATGTTGATAATAATATTGGAGGTGGATCAGCAAAACCAGGTGCTGTTAATGCAACAGTCATTGCAACAGTTATAAAAAATGCTGGTAATAAAATTTGTGTTGCTAAACCACGCATATTACGATAATTAAATATAAAACGTTTTAGTATTATTGATACTGCTTGTTTTGCATAAAGATGTGTTCCAGTTACACGATCTTGAATAATATCTTAAATAATCAAGTAGTTTAGAAAAACAAAAAAAAATAATCTCTCATACCTGATTTTGATGTTGTTGAATCACTAAATATAAAGAAAAATTCAATAAATCATTAGATTTTTGATTAAAAATAAAACTTACGATGTTGATACTGTTTCTATACTATTTTCTTGTCCTTCACTAGTACTATTAATTTGAGCTTCGATTTCAGCTGCATTAGGTGATTTTTTATATTGTTCTGTAACTTTAAGAAAAACTTCTTCTAATGAAACATCTTGTAAACCATAACCAATTATTGATAATGATTCTTTTCGTGAATCAAGTATGGAAAAAAATTCCGGAAATGAATGACGACTTTTTAATGGTAAAACATATTGAAGTTCCCTTAAAAGAATAATTTTCTCCTAAAGTTAAATTTAATCTTTCTTCAACTAACTTTCTTGTTTCTTCTTTAAGATATGCATTTGGTATACATTGTGTTATAGTCGATGTAACTTCATCCTTTGAAGCCATCCATGGATCTACAAAGAAAGAAGTTTTGTTTAAGAATACTTTCACTTTGTTTTTCAAATCAACTTATGAAAACAAAAAATGGTGAGGAAACGCCTTTGTCTTGGAAAAACGAGAGAGCAAAAATTTCAGCCATTTATAATTCAATCAGAGTTAGGATCGATTTGATTCCAAAAAAATACAAATCAATCTCATGTCTGGATTATACTATCTCATAGAAGACAGCATCCGAGAACTTTAAGTCGTCAACACTGACAAGAGGATGGGCGATAGTATCCTAAAACTAACTTATTTTCTTACCTTTTTTAATTAATGTTAAAACATAACCTTCACCAAATGTTGTTTTAAGAAAAAGTGATGTTCCACAACATTTTAATTGTCCATCTAAACACAAGACAAAATATAATTAACGATATATATATAAAATCTCACTTGAAATAATAGCAATTCTATCTCCGAGAACATCAGCTTCATCCATATGATGACTGCTTAGTAGAATAGTTCGTCCTTGTTTTAATTTCAATAATAATTCCCATATAGCACGTCGTGCATATGGATCAACACCAGCTGTAGGTTCATCGAGAATAATTGTTTTTGCATCACCAACAAAAGCCCTTTTTAAAAACAAAAAATAAAGGAAATTTAAATAAAAATAAAAAGATAAGACATACATTGCAACAGATAATTTTCTTTTCATTCCACCGGATAATGTTGAAACTGTTGCATTACGTTTTGATGTTAAACCAACATCAAATAACATACTAAATTAAAACAAAAAAAAAATAAGCTTTTTTTTTATTTTCTATTGAAATCAAAAAATTTATTTCTTTACTTTTCAATCATTTTTTTCATTTCTTTACTTTGAACTTGTTTTAATTTTGAAAAAAATAATAAATGTTCTTCAACTGTTAATTTTTCAAATAAAACATTCTATTAACAAAATAAAACAAAAATATATAAAAAGAAAAGAAAATATTCTATATACATGTTGAGGACACCATCCAAGATTTTTACGTATTTTATCCATATCAATATTTATATCTTGATCATAAATTGTCGCAGTTCCAGATGTAGCTGGAATTAGACCAGTTAAAATTGACCTGAATATAAAGATTGTTGTTTTTTTTTTGAATGATTATCTTTATGAATATTTATAAAACTTACATTGTTGTTGTTTTTCCAGCTCCATTATGTCCAAGAAATGAAAGTATTTCACCTTCATATAAATCTAATGATAAATTTTGTACAGCAAATTTTTTTTTATCAAAAATTTTTGTTAAATTTATTAAACGAACACCAATTATTTGATCATTTAAATGTTCATCATGTTCGAAGTAATCTAAATAAATTAAAAAAAATAATAAATTCTTATGTTATTTTTTATTGAGAATAAATCTTAGATTAATTTATTGATCATAACCATATATTAACCTATTTCTCTGCTTGAAAATATATATTGTTAAACAGCAGATTTTTCTTCTGTTAAAGGACACTTCTGGTTGAATACAAAAAAAAGAAATTTCGAGAACTCAATAGTCTTAAAGGTCAATCATTTATAGGCGTTTCAGTTAATAGCCATGGTACCTATGATTTTTTTCTTTTATAAACTCAATTATGAAAAATAATAGCGTAGATTGACACAACTTTTCATATTCTATGTAAAAAATAGTAATCATATTTATTTTTAGTTTTTCTCGTCCATTATACAAGGTCCAACGAGTATCCATTTAACCTCGTACAATCTACGAGAGAAGTTAAAAATAAGCATGACTATATTATGGCAATACATGAAAAATGCGTCGATCTACTTTATTGCTTTTCATATTGAGGTTATAAAAGAAAAAAATACAGGTATCATAACTGTTAATCGAAACACCACAAAATAATAGATTGCTTAAATCTCAAAACTATTTTTTGTGTTCAACAAACAAAAGAAACTTTTTTTGGACAGAAATAGGTAGAATTTTGTGCTCTATGTTTCTATCCTATTGAAAGAAAAATCTAGAGAGTGATCGATTTACGACCTTATCCAGCGCTGTTCTTTCTACGTCATTCAAACTTTGTATCTTATTGTCTCTTCAGCTCATGTACAATACTGATGCACTTTAAAATAACTATTTATGAGCTATTCTATACGTTAGCGACGTCATTTAGCAAAATTAAAACATGTATATTTTGGAATAATGGTCTTTCCTAGAGTTAACTTTTACATATTACATTAAATGTTAAGTCACTTTAGATATTCTGAAGAAAAATCAGCACTAGGAAACTTTGTGCAGATGAGTTATCAGTAAAAAACTAGAGTTAGCGACATAACACAAAAAATGACATTAAGTTTCATCTAACGCGGCAAAATTTTTTTTGAACATTTCTAGATTTATCAAAAACCTCGATTTACTTTTTCTTAGCGATAATATACACATACAAAATTGTTCTTATAATCGAATGAAAGTTTCAAAAACAATTCCAAACTGTACAGAGTCTTCCTCAAAATCTAAAAATTTTTATCATTGATTCAAGTCGTGCCGTAGAATTAATCTTGAAATTTTCAGATTTCTTTCTCATATGGTGAGACAGATACTCGCTAGTTACTTTGGAATTAACGATCAACTGAAACAGCTAAAATAACTTATTTAGAAAGACAATTCTCGCACAGCATCGAACTCAAACGAAAGGGAGATATGTCTCGTTTTTCCTGAAATGACTCACAACTATATATCCATATCAAAAATATACTTGTTTCTAATGAAATATTTCTATTAAAAACAAATAATGTTTTAATTGATAAATTAAATTGTAAAAAAAACGAAATTATAATATCTATGATGATACCTTGATTTCTAGTATAATCCTGTTGTATTTGATTTAATGATGATGCTGACAAATGAAATGTATAAGACATACAATATTTTCTACATATAATCCATCTAAATAAACTAATTCTTTTTAATTTTTTTATCCAATTAGATTCAACATATGTTTCTCCAGTCCAATAACTTATCGTAAATGGAAAATACCATTTCTTTGGTAATCCATATGCACCTAAAAACAAATAATCATTAAAAAATTTCCAAAACAAAAAAAAACAATCTTCTCCACATACCTGGATAAACATTTTCAATATACCACATAAGAATTAGATGAATTAATGTATCCAATAACATAAAAAGAACAGTTTCAAAACAAGTAAAATGATCACCTTCAACAGGACTATAACGAATATTATTAAATTGAATTCCTGTACCAATATTTTCATAAAATGCTATATATTTAGCTCCCATACCAAAAGCACTTGTAGAAAATAAAGACTAACAACAACAACAAAGAAAACACAACATAATAATAATAATTTTCATTCTTATCATTTTAAATTAATATTCTCTCAAAAAAAAACGTACAGCTAATATTTTTGCCCATTTAGGTATTGTATCTTGTGCTAAATCTTCTCTTATTGATATATACATACATGGTACATAAGTTAATAAATAAATAATTCCTGAACAAGCAGCAGCTATTTTAGCTTTCGAATAAAAAACACTAACAAGAAATCTAAATAATAATTAAATATTTAAACGAAAACAAAAACAAAAAAAACAAATCTATTTAATATATACGCAAAACTAATTGTTGAAAGTGCATAAATTTCAAAAATAATAAATATTAAAAATGGATTTGAATGTAGAAGAACTTTTCCAAAATGTAAAATAAGTGTTACAGTTATCATAACAACTGTTGTTTGACTAAATATTGTTATAAACCATGCAATCCAATGTACACCATTACTTAAACCCATGATTTTCATAACTTCTTTTAGACGAACTTCTTTTTCATAAACTATACTTTGTGTTAACATTGCAAATGCATATACCCATGATATTGTTAAACATAATGGAAGAGCATGTTGAATCATTTGAAGAAAACTAAAAAAAAATTCTTTTTTTTTTTGTTTTTATTCTAATTAAAATAAATAAATATTTTACTTGTCGTATGTATAACAAGGATAACTCATTTCTTGATAAAATAAACCAGGTTCAATTACTGGTCGACCAACTTGAGTATCGATTATTGCACGATCAATGACTTCCTAAGAAATATATATTAAAAAAATTACATTGAATTTATTCGTAGATATATTTAATAAATAAAACAAACAGTTATTCTATATTTGATTTTATCTAGACTATCAACATTTTTTTAATTGTATAGAAATTATACGATAACTATTTGAAAAATCTGTTAGAACAATTCCTACAGGACTAAATTATGAAACACAATGGTTTAAAAAACAAAATTATTCTTTCTCTCGAAGGATTTGAAACAATCCTAGACCCAAAAATTAGCCCAGTTTTTGTCATATTAGAAAAAAAGTATCTTATTCGAAAGAAAGTAGAAAGATATACAGTATAAATCGTAGAACTCTTGTTCAATCATTTTAACTTTAGCAAAGTTTCAAACTCGATGAAAATTTTACAGAATATTTTTCTCTGTCTAATATATCTACTCAATTACTGTAAAGATGCATAAACGTTTATAGATTGCGATACAAGTTTTCTAAAAAAAAAAATCCTTCGTTTTTAACAGGTTTACTACGCTGTGTTGTCTTAGGAGTACTTGCAGAGAAAAATAAGGACACATTCATAATGAGAGCAAAAAAGACGTGTCGAATGATGTGTGATTTGTTATTTTTAAAAATAATTTTTTTTTGTGAAACACAATCCACAAGGAGTATTATAGTAGGTAAAGTAGAAATTTGGAACTACTCACCTCTCCTTCCCTTGCCTACAGATCGTGACAGACATTTCGATATTTCATTAGCAAGAACTCATTATTTCCATAAATACATAATAACTAATTAATATCTCTTTACTAACTCATTAGTAACGCATGAATAAGTAATCAAGGACAGAAATAATGAACGAAGATTCCTATAACATCATAGAACTTCGTATATATCAATCGTTTAGTCTATCTAATCATTAAGGACGGTACGATCAACATGTATGGATAAAAAATTAGGATAAATGTTCCGTGACGTGTTTTTTTTTCATCAAAAAATATTCTATCACAAACTTTACTTTTTTTTCCCATTCAATCTTTCCGTTGAGTACTGAAAATTAATATTTCTTTCACAAAAAAAAAAAAACTCTTTTGATGGAAAATAAGCTATGTCCACGTATTCTATAGGAATTCCCCCAATGTGTCTTGTATTTTAACATAACTTTTAAAATCTTACTTCAAAAAAAACATGTACTATTAATATTCTTACCTGAACCCAACTAAATCCAAAATCATAATAAACAAAACCATTTTGTGCTGGTGATGGTACCCAAAATCTATCTCTTACACGTTTTGTTGATGGTGTCAATGAAGCATTTTGACGAATTTTATATATTGTATGTGGTGGTAATTCAGTATTATTTAAATAAACATTAGTAAAAACTACACTTGCTATAACAGTATAATTATCATGATATGCTTGATGAAGAAAATATTCTACTAAATCATTTTCATCAGAAAATCCTTTAAATACATTTAAATTAATTCCTGATATAAGACTTATCCAACTACAAGCTGCTTTATCAATTGTTGTTATTTGTTTCATATAATTATCAATTGATGGATCAGTTAAATTTTTAAGTATATTCACAATTTTATTTATCGATGATAAATGTAATAAAGGACCGAATTCTTCAATAAATTTTTTCATCTAAATTAAATAATTTTAAAAATCAAAAAAAAAACAAAAAATTTTTTTTTTTTTATTACTCGTCTTAGTGATTCAACTTTTTTTGCTGTACCATTTGTAAGAAAATATGTTTTAAGAACATTTGATACATTTCTCCATTTATATGCATAATTAGTTATTGTATCAAGTAAAATAAATGTTGCATTAGCTTTTGATATAACACCATCAATTAATGTTGAATTTGGTGCATATAAAACTAAAGAATTTCCATAAAGAACATAAAATAAAAGACCTAATTGTCGTTGTTGATTGTCTGATATTCCTAATTCAGCTAAAAAATATATTGATGAAAAAATTAAATTAAATTAATTTTTCTTTTTGTTATAAAAAGTTAAAAAAACAAACCAAGATCAGGTAAATGATCATCATCCATTGTTTGATCTGAATGAAAATTATTTTTTGGTTTAAAACCACAAATAGCTTCTTGCATTCCAAGCCATAATGGAAAAAATCCTTTTTTATTTTTTAATTTATTCATTGCAACTGATTCCTAGAAATATATGAGATCAATCATGACTTTATTATTACAAGATTGCATGAAAAATATATAGAATGTCTTAGTTACAAAATAAAAATACTTCGTATCTTCAAAATGATTTTTACATTAGGTTCAATATTTTTGAATCGAACAGACTCTAATAGAGACTAAATAGTAACGGATGAATTTGAAATTATTTTTTTTGTACTGTGATATTCTTCTATTGAGAGATTAAATAATATGTCAGCTCGTAATATCAAACAGACTAATCCCAAAAAGCAAAAATAAGACCAAATATCAGTTAAAATTCTTGTTTTTATTTTGTAATAACTAGATACATAATTCAAGAAAGTTATGCACGACAAAGATACAAAATAAACTTGAAAATGAAACAAAAGGACAATCCTACAAGTTTCATATGAGAAACATGTTGGAGCTGCTAACATTACAAAAGAAAATATTCATCAGCATATGTTTCGATTTATGAATTGCTAATTGTTATTAATTCTACTTAGCTACAGGAAATCTAAACAAGAACTGAGCCGCTGTCTAATATTTATGTGTAGGTGCCGATGTGTGAATGTCAGTGTGTAGAGAGCGCAAAAGGATCGATATCAATACTCAAACCCATATTAACACCAGTCTTTCTCTTTTTACTTTTTCTGTTGTTTATAAATCAATGTTCTGAGAAATCATTGACATCTAGGGATATCAGTAGATATATATATACTATTAATTTAATTTATGTGTAAATTTAGATTATCAGTTATTTTAATATATTTTATATTGACAAAAAAAAAATGACAACTTCATTTTACTTGATTGTAGAAGAACTAGAACTGATATTCTTTCTTTTTTTTTTCATTAAGTTTAAAACTTTTTGTTGTTTTACTATTAATTTCATGACTTTTTTTTTTGCATCGAGTAATTTATCATAGGATATATTTTTAGATTACATTCTATAAAAAAAAAAACAAAATCATTAGATATGTGCTTTGTGAGAGATTAAAATATGAATTAAATATTCTATTTTTTTGTTGTCGTTATAATAAGATCGTATTTCAAGATTTTTAAAATTAATATAATGTATTTACCACATTGCCAGAGAATGCTTCAGCTGGTGGTGATGGTACTGATGTAGTTTGTTCAGTATTATTTTGTTCATTGATATAACAAGAATTTGTTCGAAGAAGTTTAGCTAACTCATATAAATCTTTTAAACCTTGTTCAAACATTGCATATTTTTCAAGCTAAGAATGAGAAAAAAAAATCTTTTGAAAATAAAATTTCTAATTTTTTTTTTGTTTTCTTACTTGACTAACATAATCATCAAGTTGAAATAACATTGATGATATTTTTATGTGTTCTAATTGTAACTAAACAAATAAAATTTTGCAAAAAAAATTTATATACAAAAACAAAATTAAATTTACTATGTCAATAAATTCATCATCTGATATTGAATTCATAAGTATATTTGATAAATTATGATATTGTTCATCTGACATATTACATAAACGTTCTTGTAAATCCGTCTAAATCAAATTTTTTTTTTATTTATTAAGAGAAAAATAAAAATATATAATATTTTATTTTATTTTATACTTTATTAATAGTTGTTGAATTTAATTGAAAAAGTAAATCAAATTTGTCTACTGAACAAAAAATTTCTTTTAATATTTTTGGATGAAAAATTGTTATCTAAATAAAAATAAATTTATATTCAAATTTAAAACAAAAAAAAGAATTTATTGTTTTACTTTAATAGCTTTTGCTAATAAATAAACTTCTTCATTAGTTAAATTTATAAATGAATTTGTTGAAATAATTTTTCCAATTATTTCTTTTACATTGAAAAATTCTTCTTCTTGCAATGATATTTGTAAAAGTGAATAATAATCAAATATATCAAAATTATCTTCATTATTATTTTGAGAATTCTTGTTTGAATCTCGAAATACATGTGGAGATGCATATGGTATCTATTTAAAATAAAACAGAAAAAAAAAAAACAAGTTAATTTATCGATTCATTTTAATTCAATTGAAATTAGAAATGTGGTTAGAAAGAAGAAGAAAACAAATGTTATTCGAGTGTAAAACATTCAAAAAAAAACGAGAAATATATAATTTATCGTCTTTATCACAGCAAAAAATTTTCACCTACTGTTAAATCTCTTTTTTTTCTTTGCTGAAAAGTATATATATACATAAATTATATATTTGTTTTTCTTTAGGTTTTGTTTTTTTTTAATTACCTGATTAACAGCAATAGCTGTATGATTTAATAGATGTTCACATTCTTCGTTTGTATAATTTAGTTGTATAACAAAAAATGAACAGATTATTGTTAAATTTTTAGTAAATGAATAAGTTAAATTTGATAAACTATCATAAACAAATGTTGGACGATCAATTAATGTTTCATACATATCAGGTAAAGAATCAATATCAAACATAGAAAAATTTTGTGTAAAAAATGGATTTGTTCGAGAGATTCGATCGATTGTCATTAGCATGTCTGTAGATCTAAAAAAAAACATGACTAAATTATGCTTTGTTTTTTTGTTTAATTAAACTTTAATACATACGTTCCATTTGGAAAAATACTAAAACCTTGTTCATTACTAGGACCTGTTTTAGGACAAAATGATTGAAGAATTGAAAAGACTCCTGCCGATGGAAATGGTGTAGCACGATATGTATGATCAAGAAAATTCGGAGTATAATTAGCTAAAAATAAAAATAATAGTTTAATATTTTTTTTTATAAATTTAAAATTACTTTGTAGATGAAATGATGCTTGTTGTGTTTTTCTTATTGCAGTCATAACAAGAAAAAGAACTAATGGAATAATAAGTTCGAATAGAAGAACGAACTAATTAAATTAATTTTGATTTATAATTACAAAATTATTCTTATTTTAAAAAATATAACTTACAGGACTGCGTTTTTTTAAAATGTAATTTTTCCATAGAAGAACTTTTAATTGATGAAGAAAAAGCATTTTAATATAATAAAATATAATGGCTAAAGATTATTTCATCTAGAACAAATAACAAAAAATAATATATATATATCTATTTTTTTTTTTTATCTTTTAAAGACTAAAGAATGTTTGATTAATAGAAGAATTATTAGTTTGTTGATCATTCGATTCAGATTGTGTATGAAGAAATGATTGTAATAAACCAAGACCAGGACGATTATTCAAACCAGATTTAAATTGTGTTACACTACATTCTACACATTGTTTATAAGTACTAATATATAAGAAAGAAAAGAAAAACAAATCTAATTAAATATTAATCATAATAATAAGAAAAAAGAAAATAGAATATTCGTACGATAAAAGTGATGGATGAATAAATTTTTTGAAATTTTCATTTGCTTCATCAAGTGCATGTAATTCCAAAAAAGATCCTTCACTTTCAGAAAATTCCTTTTAAAATAAAAAAACATGAAAATTTAATAGAAATATGAGAAAATATAATTATACAAACTTTCATTTGAACAACAAGAGCAATAAGTTTTGTAATCAATTCAAGATTTCCTTGATTAATAACCATTGGTGGAATCTATAGAAGAATATAAATCTAACTTTTTTTTTTGTATTTTTCTTTGGACTACATACATTAAGTTTATTAACAAGTTCTTGTGCTAATCGTTGTGATCTATCACATACAAATTTTGTATCATTAAATACTACAAGTAATTGTTCATCAGTTACAATCTTAATTGAAAAGAAAAAACAATAAAAAGAAGTTGATCAGATAATTTCTCTTTTTATTTAGAATATTACTTCTCGACAGATATTATTTATTTCATCAATAAATTTTGCTAAATATTCATTTAATTTTGCTAACCATTGTACTAAATGTGCATAATCTCGTCGAAAAGCATCACTTAATGGAATTTGTCTACTTATCTAAATAATTAACAATAAAAAAAAATAAAAATAAAAAAAGAATATTCTAACTTCAAATTCTGCTTGATCATTCATTTTACGTAAACTTTCAATTGAATCACGTTTAGCACAAAGTATTCGTGAGACTCGAATCTAAATACAAAAAAAAGAAAAAAGGCTATTTTTTTAAAAACTAAAAATAAGTAAAACATACAATAAGATATAACAACCGATCAGGTATTTTAGTTATAGCATCTGTCTTTTTTGACATTTCATCATCGTCTACTGTTGGAAGATCTTCTTCATCGTTATCGCTATTTAAATATTCCTAAAACAATCTGTCCAAGAAAAAAGAACACAAGGAAAAAAAATCACGTCTTTTTATACTTTATCTTTTTCACCATATTTAATCGTTTTCAACTTATCCCCAAGGACAACACGTTCAAGTGGTTCTTCAGACTAAAATAGAAAAATAAGAATTTTCTTTTTTTTTTCGGTCAACATGTTTTTTTTTTGTCTTTTTCCTACCATAACATCATAATCATTGATATTCAACAAACCAATATTTGAATCATCAAATAATATTTTATATAAATGATTATTATTTTCATCTCGAGAAATAAATTGTCCACGATATAAACCATATTGTGATGATCGGAAAAGTCGAACTAAATTATTTGAGGTTTTTTTTTCTTTTCTTTTCTTTTCTTTTCTTTTCAAAAAAACAAACCAATAACACGAGAACCGATTGGTAATGATGAAATAATTAAAGATGGAAGGTTATTTAAAAAGATTTTTTCTGATTGATAATGTGTTTTGCTTTCATATTGAAGGATACGAAGTAAATTTCGTTGTTTAGATAATTTAATTCTTTCATTTTTAAGATATGCTGATGATAATCTATTAATAAAAAACAACAAAAAAATAATAATTATTATTACTTTATTTTACACTTATTTACTATGAATAAAATTTACCTTCGAGGTTTACCAAATCTACGTCGAATTAAATTCCATTGATGTCGAGTAAATTCCAATTTTCTTCTTGAATTATTATTGTTAATAAATTCCGGAAAAAAATGTTCCATACAATTTTCAAATTCATTTTCCGTAGTAAGTAAACACCTTTAATGAAGCAGAAAAAGAATGATGTTGTTTGAATTTATACATCATAATATAGTATGACATTGATTATAATAAGTATTATAGAAAAATAAGAGAAGAAAAGAGGGGAAAAGAAAAAACAGAAAAAAAATTTTAACGAGTACCGACGGAAAAAAATAGTAGCACAAACTACACTCTTTTTTTTTCTATTTTGTCAATGTCTTTGAGAGAGAAGAAAAAAAAAGTAATAAACTAAAAGTCACTATTCTAATGTTTTTTACGATTCAACCAAAGGAAAGAAAAAGAAAGACAATTGACATTGCATTATAAAATTTTCTGAATATCCTTGAACATCACATCAAGGATTTTTTATAAGACATTATGTTAAATGTACTTGTTCGTTTGATCAATTGTCTAAGGACATATCATACTATTTAATCATTAGATATAGTTGTCTAACGTATGACCTTTTTGACAAGGATACATGAAAGTGAATACAATTGTCAATTAGTTCGCAAAGTTATTTTAAAAAAACTAACAAATATGGACATTTATATCTCATGTAAATTGATATAACCCTAAAACAAAATATTTACTTTAATTCATCTTATCGAAGCATGTCTTACGTCTGAGAATATTAACCGAATAAAAAAAAAATATAAGGTTATAATGAAAGTAAAATAACCTCAATTGTTATTAATCGTATACGGGCAAATGTTTGCTATAGAAGCCTTTTTCCTCGAACAAACTAAACGAGTTATTTTGCTTTATTTTTACATTTTCTCTCCGATTTCTGTGACAAAACAAATGCAGATGAAAATAAGTATTGAAAAAAAAAGAAATTCTCATTCTTAAATTTCCCGCATAGTGAAAAATAAAATTTTTCAATATCGATAAAATATTATTGAGAATGAAATAAAAAATGAGAAAAATTACCAATCAATATCTGAATAAAACCATTCACAAATCATCCATCGTTGAGCTTTTGCATTCAATAGAAAATGTTTTAAATGATCAACATTTATTTTCTATAGAAAATTTCAAATATTTATATTCAAATTTACATAGAGAATTACAAAAAAAATGCTAACCAAAGGGGATCTTAAGGATTTGTTGAATAGTACGTCAGCTGTTGTAGTCATATTTGCCTTATTCATAATGAGAAAAAAAAATCAGCAGACATTTAGACATACGTCACTACACACAAATCGTTCTTTCAGTTTCTATTGAATTAAATTATAGACCACTCAAATTTTTATTCTTAACCACCAATAAATTCAATATCTAATTAAAAATTTTCATTTAAAAAATAAAAATAAGTCTTTTCTGATATATTAACCAAAAAATCGATTTCTTTTACCATTCTTCACCTAACATAGAAAGTTGCGCTTATTCATTTTGATTGGTAGCATAAGAAAATAAAGAGCGAAAATAAGAAAGAATTGTTTAAACAAAGAACAAGGCAATCTAAAAAAAAAAGAAAAAAAGCAAAGATCATTTAGAACGATATTTATCTTTATAATAAAATCGAAAACATGTCTGGTTCACATGATGATAGTCTTCCACCTGAAGGTATGTTTAAATTTAAGATTTTTTTTTTATTAAAATATTAGTAAGATTATGTTTTGGTTGTATAAGATTTAAATTATTACTTCCCTTCGGTATATGTTTTAATTCATTTTCAATAAGATTTGTTTTTAATGATTGATCATTATTTGCAAAATATTTAAGAATATTTTTCTCTGCTCTGGAAGATAATCGTATTGAATTTTGTTTTTCATCATTCATATTTTGTCGCATTGCTTCACGTTTTCGTGTTCGATAATGTTCTACATTTGCCTATGAAAACAATAATTATAGTAAATTTATGTTTATTACTAATACTTATTATGAACTCGTGAAATTACCGATATGCATGCTAAGAGGATTTTTTTTTTCTACTCGACAAGTATCGTAAATAGAAATAAATATTTAGTTTCTTTCTAGAAGAATAAGTAGATTCGAATATGTGGTAGAAAAAAAATAGAGTTATAATTTCACCTTAGATAAAAACGTAGACGTATCGAATAATGACAAATTTATTGAACTACTTGTTGAGAAGAAAACATTCTTGTTTCTTTTCCACGATACGACTTCATCACCTGTGTATCTCGTTTTTATCAAAAGTTATAAGAAAAATACACAGCTGCCGTATTTGAAAAATGTATTAGATCCATATTCTACCAAATCTGTTACAGACTCTTCATTCTATATCTAACACCGATAGAAATTCCTAAAGAGATCAATATTGCCATTAATTATAAGTAAAGGTCATATTCTGACAGAATATATAAAGTCTGCAGCAACCATAATCTTATATTTTTTTTTCATATACACAAAAATTGGCTCAATTAGTTATTCGTTGTGCATGTCTTCTCTTTAAAAATCTAGCATCTTTGAGTTGAGTCGTTTTGATTAACGGGGCAAATTTATCAGTAGGTAGATCAACTATCCTAGTCGCTTCTTGTTATTGGTTCTATACTTCTGTTAATTACAAAACTGAATCAACCATTGAACTGGTCCTGCGGAGAAAAGGAATTGCCGGATTCATCATAGAGCTCTGCGCGTAGTCAACAAGAGTTTTTTTTTTCCTAAAAATTCATTTGTAACAGAACATGTCTGAAATAGTACCTTTAATTTCCATATGGTCGCTGTATAAACTAATGCATGTCGGAGGTTCCAACAATGTTATGTGTGCATGAAACGAAGTCACGGTGAAATTGAACTTCGGTTTTCTTTGATGTTCATATGCTTTGAAAAGACGTTGTTAGGACTTCCCTAACGCACCAGTTTGTACAGTATATATATCAGAGAACAAAAGCTACTGATCGTATTTTTTAACTAAAAGATTTACTAAACGCTCGAGATGGATTAAAGTTCGATGTAAAAGAAAAATCATTAAATTGGAAGAAGACAAATGACGTACAATATTTGTTATATTATCTTTTAATTGAAATAATTTTGCGTAATAATTATTTCTAAGTTGAATTAATGGTTGTGTTGATTTGAATTGTGAATTGATAAGTGTAAGAAAATTATTTTCATCATCTAATAAATAATGTTGATTTGTTACAAACCAAAATTTTCCATTTTCACTAATACGATGTGCATAACGTGTTATTGTTTTATTAATTTCATTTTGATTATTAACAAATGCAACAAGAAATTGATCACCAGCTTGAAAATGATCAGAATCAACAAGAAATTCTTTTGATATATTTTCAATAATTGATTTAAAATCATTTGGTGTACGAAGAAAAACAATTGTTGGATTTAATTCTTCATCATTACTGAATGGATAATCAAGTTTAACAAGAAAATCATGAGCTTCCTTATTTATTTGACTTCTTTTAAGTTCATTCATCATAAATAAAAGAGACACAGACACACACAGACAAATATTCGATTAAACTAAATGAAGGCGCGCACGTATATGTAGGTTCATGTTAAATAACACTACTACGTCTTTTTTGTGCTTGTGGTGAAAGTGCTAAGGCCATATGAATATCTTTTTCTTCTATCATATCATGAATACCTTGTCGTCCAATAGTAAATCTTGTTCCAATCCATTTTTGATTTGATATTTTAATTGTTGGTCGTACTTCATAATATTGAGCATTTGTTAATGGTTCCCATATAGATGGAATTTTTTCTTTTGTACGTGGATGATATTTATCAATAACTAAAATCCATATTATTGGATTTTCTGATGATGTATATGTTGTTAGATGACTAACTTTTGTTGATAAATCTTTTGGATTAGATAAAAATAAAAAGACAAGTTTAGCAGCAGGTTCATCTTCAATTTTTGGTGTTATTTCAATATTTAATATATTTTCTTCTTTAGCAAGTATATCGAATGAATTTTTTAATTGATTAAAACCATTTTCACCAGCTGGATAATCAAGTATATGAATTTTTTGACTTGGCATATGACGTATATCAAGATCAAATGTTGAAAGAAAATGACGTGCTATAAGAGAATTTTCTTTGGTTTCATATGGATTTCCATCATTCCACCGAAAATATATCGACATTTGATTTTTTTTCTAATATATATATATAAACTTCGAATAAAATAATTATTTATATCCTAAGCGCCTAATTTATAATTTAGTAGAAAAACTATTGAGATGTTGAAATTTGACTAAGTTTCTCAACAATAAGGTGTCGGTTTACTCAAGTCATATCAGAACTAGAAATTTGATTTCAAATTTTGTACGAACAAACTTCTCGATGTGATTTAATTGATAGTAACAATTGAAGCTTTTATAATATTTCCTTTCTGATAGTAAGAATATATGAACAAAGTTTGCTTTTATACAAGAAAATAGTATATATTCAATATATTATAATAGATGATACTAAAAAATGTTAGAACTTCTCAAATGAACTAGTCAAAAGAAAAATGTTCATGTATTGAGATTTGGAAATGAAAAAAAAAAAAGTTGAACTGTCTAATATGTATAAGATAAAATAGAAGTTTTCATACGAAATTTATATCTTTATTTAGAAGAACAATTAAGTGAAGAAGAAAATGAAATCTTAGGTGATGATCGATCGGATATTATCAGTGAAGAATCTGGTGAAGATTTATTTGGTGATAATTTCGAACGGTAAAATTTCAATAGAATTTTTTTTAATTAGTAAATTTTTAAATTTGAAAAAAAAAACAACAAATCTATAGAGATTATGAAGCCATCGATGAATTAGATCGATATGAAACAGGTGGTATTGATGATGATGAAGAAAATGATACAGAACTTACTCTTGAACAACGTCGACGAGCTGAAAGAGAAATAAAACGACGTGAACGTGAAAGACGTCGTCGTCTTGGTCAAGAATTAAATGATGAAAGTGATCTTGATGAAGATGAAAGTCTTATTGGTTTAGTTGGAAAACGAAAACGTTCAAAAATTCATGATGATGATATTGGCATGGATGATGAATCGGATGCTTATATTAAAAATTTAGGTGATACACAAGGTCATAAAATAGCTGATTGGATACAAATGCCTGGTCCACATAATGAAGTAATTCGACATTTAAAAAAATTTTTACGTACATTTAAAATAACAACAACAACTGTTGGTGGTACAAATAAACCAATTTATCGTGAAGCATTACGTCGTCTTGTACAAGAACAAAAACAATCAATTATTATTGATTTTGAACATTTAATGTCAATGGATGAAGTATTAGCATTTTTTTTACTTGGTGCACCTGAACAAACATTAAAAATATTTCATGAAGCTTTAACTGAATTATGTTTTGAACTTTATCCAAATCATCGATCAATTGAAAAAGAATTATTTGTACGTGTTAGTAATTGTCTTCAAAATGATAATATTAGAGATTTAAGGTAAGAAGAAAATTCAAAAAAAAAAAAACAATTTTATTATTTAGAATTTGAAATTTTTAGAGTTGAACATTTAAATAAATTAATTGGTATAAGTGGAGTTGTAACAACATCAACAGGTGTTTTACCACAATTAAGTATTATTAAATTTAATTGTCAAAAATGTGGTTTTACACTTGGACCATTTACACAAAATCAAGAAAATGAAATTAAACCAGGTTCATGTCCAGAATGTCAATCAAATGGACCATTTGAACTTAATATGGAAGAAGTATTTATTGATTTTTTTTAAAAAAAAAGGATAAAGCAAATTGAACTTTTGTTTTTCATTTAGACAATTTATCGAAATTATCAACGTATATCAATTCAAGAAAGTCCTGGTACTGTTCCACCAGGTCGTATTCCACGTTCAAAAGAAATTCTTTTACTTGGTGATCTTTGTGATACATGTCGACCAGGAGATGAAATTGTATGTTAAAGAGATACTTTTGTTTTAGTTCTTAGGTAAAGAATTTGTTTTTTTTTTTGTTGTATTAGGAAGTACTTGGTGTCTATAGAAATACTTATAATATTTCATTGAATATACAAAATAATTTACCAGTATTTGCAACAATTGTTGAAGCTAATTATATATCAACACGTGAAGATAAAATTTCATTTGAAACTTTAACTGATGAAGATATTCAAGAAATTCAACGTTTATCAAAAGAACCTAAAATTGCTCAACGAGTAAATAAATATTTGTTATCTTTTGCTTTTATTCTTTTTCTTCTTTTAGATTTATGCAAGTATTGCACCATCTATTTATGGTCATGAAATGGTTAAAAAATCAATTGCATTTGCTATGTTTGGTGGTGAACCAAAAAATCCCGGTATGTCTTAGAAATTCAATTAAAAAATAATCTTATTTCAGTTTTAGCGACATTTTTTGTATTGCATATCAACTGTTGATGTTTTTTTTGACTATAGTATCCTCGACCGTTGAAAGACTTAGTAAAAATAAATTACGCTTAACAATATAGAACAAGAAGAGTTTGACTTCTATTAAAGATGATGAAAATATCTTGAAAAGAAATTAGTACTGATCTTGTAAGAAGTATTGATGAAGTTTTTGGCTGTTTTTTTTTCAGTGCCTGGAACAGTTAATTTTCTCTAAGATTGATTTAATGAAAGATGACATTAGTTGTCAATCGTAAAGTGGACTTTCGATTTTTTTTCTTGTGGAAAATAACATGATGATACACGTCTTAGTAGTGTATGAAAATTTCTCAAATAACTATAAAGATTTGATCTTGTAATCAAAATAGAACAATCAATTGCACGTCTTCACAGAGTTACATGCAATATAAAAGTATCACAAAACTTTCATTGTGTTGAATATTGTTTTAAAAGAATACATGAAGAGTATATAAGTAATGAACATATGTAATGAGATCGAAGATAAAAATCTTTATCACCGTATAGTTCGATAGTAATTTTTTTCAATTAAAAAGTGATTTATATTGTACTATTCGACAGGTACTAATATCAATTAATATTCGATAGTAGTGTTAAAGAATAGTTGATGTTATTCTCTCCGCTATTGGTTTCACGAGTAGTACGATATAAATATCGTTACCGTGTTTAGGCGGATTCGAACGTGTACATTTCGTTATAATGATGTCTAGAACGAACGAACTAAAAGATTGATTTTCTTTATATTAAAGGTGGCAAACATCAAGTTCGTGGTGATATAAATGTACTTCTATGTGGTGATCCATCAACAGCTAAATCTCAATTTTTAAAATATATTGAAAAAACAGCACATCGAGCAGTATTTACAACTGGTAGAGGTGCATCAGCTGTTGGTTTAACTGCTTATGTACAACGGAATGCAGTTACTAGAGAATGGACACTTGAAGCTGGTGCACTTGTACTTGTAAGTTTTTAAAATATTGATTCGATTGATTTTTTATTTTTTATTTTAGGCTGATCGAGGTGTTTGTTTAATTGATGAATTCGATAAGGTAAATTATTTTTTTTGTTTCCTTAATAAAAATAAAAAGTTTTTTTTTGTTGTTTTGTTTTGTTCTATTATTAGATGTCTGATCAAGATCGTACATCAATTCATGAAGCTATGGAACAACAAAGTATTTCAATATCAAAAGCTGGTATTGTAACAACACTTCAAGCACGTTGTTCAGTTATTGCTGCAGCAAATCCAGTTGGTGGACGATATGATCCAGCATTAACATTTATGAATAATGTTGATTTATCTGAACCAATTTTAACACGATTTGATATTTTATGTACTGTACGTGATATTGCTGATCCTGTTCAAGTAAGTTGTTTCTTTTTGTTGATTGTTTTATAAATAGATTTCATAAAAAATTTCAATTTAGGATGAATTAATGGCTCGTTTCGTAACAGAAAGTCATATGCGTCATCATCCATTAGCTGATGAAAATGATGCACAACAAAATCATGTAAAATATTCTATTGAATATTGTTTTTTTTTGTACTTTTGAACATTGATTTCGGTTTTAGGTTGTTCCTAATATATTCAATGTTGAACCAATACCACAAGAAACCTTTAAAAAATATATAATTTATGCTAAAAGACGTATTCATCCACGTATGACATCAGTTGATCAAGAAAAAGTAGCTCAATTATATGCAAAATTACGACGTGAATCATTAGTAACTGGTAGTGTACCAGTAACAGTTCGACAAATTGAATCAATAGTTCGTATTGCTGAAGCACATGCACGAATGCATTTACGTGATTTTGTTAATGATGATGATATTAATGTAGCTATTCAAGTTGTACTTCAAAGTTTTATTGATGCACAAAAATATGGTATTATGCGAACAATGAAAAAAGTATGTTCTTTAGAAAAAAGAAAAAGAATAGAAAATAATTTATATTTTAATTTTAGGTATTTCAACGTTATTTAACATATAAAAAAGATAATAATGAATTTTTATTATTCTTATTGAAACAATTATTTCAAGAAAATTTAGCATTTCAAAGAAATCGTTATGGTGCTGATCGTGTTACATCAGCTGGAACAGCAATTAAAATTTCTGAAGAAGATTTAAAGAGTCGAGTATGTTTAATTTTTGAAGATTTTTTTTTAATATTGTATCTATTCTTGATGTTATTCTAGGCTCGTCAATATAGTGTATTAGATTTGAAACAATTCTATGAATCACCATTGTTTCGTTCGCATGGATTTAAATATGAAGATAAATTCATTACACAAGTTCTTTAAATAAATACATAAGAAATATTATTAGATAGATAAATAAATAATCTCTATTTTTGTTCTCACATTTATATATAGATATAGATATGTCAGTTATTTTTCTGTATTACTCATCTTTATTTTTCTTATATTGAATGAAAATAAAATAGAAGTCTATATGTATTTTTGTTAAAAGAAAAACAAAGACTTATGAAAATATCTTTTCTCTTTTTTTGGGATGTATATTCAACAACTCATTGATCATAGGAAACAAACTCAAGTTTTTATTATCATAGATATCACAGTGATATAATATGATAATCATAGAATCAGTATGACGAGCAATATTTTTTATCATACTTTAAAATGATTATTGTTCACATCAAGTGAGTATCGAAATCAAATTTCTTTGTTTGACAATAACAGCAATACTGATTCTCGCATAATTTCTCAAGCAATAATCTTTATTCTCATTTATTTTGAAACCCTATAAGTTGATATTCAGTTACAAAACTCTTGTGAATTACTTTTTTCTTCATTCATATCTCACGATACATTTCCTAGTGCAATAATCTTTATAGTGAATTTTTTCGCTCTTTTTTTTATTAAATAACTCTGAAAATTCACTAATGTCCATTATCGAAGTTGAGGCTATAATTAGTCAAAGATTATTGTTACTCTCATATGCATTGGAGCTTTATTTCATTTACGAACTGTTTCTATCCACAGACAACTATAGTCATTTTTTCGTGGATATATCTCGGATCACTGTCTTATTCGTCTTCATCATAATTTTAATTACTGTTTGTGAAAGTCTCATCATTTTATCAATAAGTTGATGACTTTCTGGTTTTGTTATTATTTTAGACAGCTTCAACAACAATAATATTCATCACATGGAAGCCATAATATTGCTCGAGATCAAAGAGTAGTAACAAATAATCATGAGCGCGAAATAATGATGACAGTTACTATGACTTCATTGTGACATGATTTAGACATTTTTTTTCCTTTTTGATTGTTCATAAAAAATCATATAGAACATGCAAGTTGTAGAGTGTTTTCAAAAAAACAAACTATAAATAATTACTTATCATTATGTTAAAATTTAATTTTTGAGATATGCCTTTATTAATGTTTTTGGAAACAATATGCGAATGGTAAGTATTCGAAATATGATGATCTGTTAATACAAGGCTATATCTGACAAAAATAATTCTATTTATATTGAAGACGTTACAATAATGAACTATGATTTAGTGCGGAGTTGAGGTCAAGAACTAGAAAAAATCGTCTTTCTATTCAAAACAAACGATTTCAGGAGCACGAAGAAGTGCTGTGTTTTATGAGAATATCCTCTTTTGAGTTATGTTTCTAGCTGATGCAATATTTTTAAAGATATGAAAATCGGTGGCAATCAAGTATCTCTGATTTGTATCTTCTTTGTAGAAAATTCTATGTTACCGTTGTTCTACTATTAAGTTTCAGTATGTTTCCGTGTTCCCAAACAAAAAGATCTGCATATCTTCATTGGTTTACCTATTCTATAATTTGATATTGTTTGTTCTTGAAATTGATTCATAAAAAGCTCAGTAGAGATTAAAATAGGAACAAGAAGATCATAAAAATTAATTTTTTATTGACGTCTAACGACAGCTACAAATGACTTTTTTTTGCTTTGTAAATAATAGAAATGTGAAATAAATATGTATTCGACTCTGATCGATCTGCATTAGGTTAGGTACAAATTAATTATTATATTTGATTATTATTTATCAAGTTGAAGAAGAATGAACAGTTAGTATTTTGCTATTAGTAGCAAGTACACCAATGGTTGTGAACAAAGAAAACTTCGACGAGTTTGTTTTTTTTATCTCACCTCGATTGCATTTTGATAAAACAAAAATTATTCAAAATGAATTATTCTCTTTGGCTTCTACCGCCGACTAATTCAAAAATTGCCACATCTCTTGCTTCTGCCGTAAAATGTCTTGGCTGTTCATTTACTCCACATATCACACTTACTTCCAAAATTCCACTTTCTACACCTGTTGAAAATATCAAATCGTCTCTTGATACTTATTTTGCGAAAAATCCTTTACCTGATGTTCATATTAATACTTTGGATACAGGATCGGAGTTTTTCAAACGTATATTTTTACGATGTCAAAAGACTGATTCTCTTGTTTTACTTGCTCGTTTTTCAAAACAAACATTTGTTGGTAATGACAAAGACATAGATAATTGGACAAATGATTACGATCCACATATTTCGTTAATTTATGCTGAAAAAGAAGATTGCGATGATAAAGAATTGATTAGTCGACTTGATACTTCAACACTGATTGATAAAACATGGCAAGGTGGAAAAATTCAATTAGTTGATACTAGTGAAAAATTGTCAGAATGGAAGACAGTTTTAGAATTTGATATTCCAAATAGCACTAAATGATAAACTTTAACAATATTATTTGTCGATCAATTCATGCTGATGAAAAATAAGATTAATATGATTGAAGTGCTAAATATCAATTTTTATATAGATAATCTAGCTTGTTAAATTCATTTTAATAAATATTTTTAAATAATTTTCTTCTTTTATAGAAAATTAATATTACATCAAAGTTAAGATAATTTAGTTTGTGGTATATTCCTTTTTTTTCCTAAGGATAACGAAGAGATACCCATCATCTGAAAGATCAATAGAAATCATTGCGTAGAGGTTGGGTTACAGTATATCTGATGATACATGTGACAAATATCGAAACACTTAAAGTTGATATCAGTATTGTCCTATGTAATAGTTATGTTAAATCAGGTTTAACATTGGCATTTCGTAGAAAAAGAAACAATAAAACTTTTCTTTATCAACTACTTTGTTATTCAAATTGAATGAGACATACTTAAAGAAAGATGAATAATTTTATCTAGCACATATACGCAATCATATATGGAGATTATTTATCCTTTACAAATGTTCAACTGCTTTATTCTTTCATCTCAATAAAATACTTGAATACAAACAATATGAATATAAAACAACATAAAAGTTTAGCAAGTTTAAAATAAAAACGGCTAATATATTAGTATCAAAATTTTTTTAAAATTAAAACTTGATTGTGTTCACACCAGATGTGGTCTGTTGAACAGCAGCAAAAGCAGTTTTGAGTACCACTTTGCTAGAGAAAAGTATTTATTTTTTTAGTAAGAAAGGATCAGACAGATATTCGGTTACTTACATTGTTCCATCTGATTTTTCATCAAACATTTTATAAGCTTCAGCACCTAAAATAAATAATCAATATTTAAGTATCGATATATAAATAAAATACAATTAACCTCGTGATAATTCCATTGTATGTGTAATAACAAAAGTTGGATCAACTTCCTAAAAAAAAAATCGAAGAGAATTATTTCTTTTCTGATCAATAATATCTAATGATGAAGAAATAACTAACTCCATTTTCAATAATTTTAAGAAGATCATGCCAATAACTTTGACAGAATAATTGACCACCTCGTAATGTCAAAGCTAAGAGAAACAATATGTTATATATAGAAATTTTTTTCACTTTTGATCAAAAATTATAAAAAAAAATAATACACCTTTTTCCATTAAAGCACCTAAAGATTAAAAGAAAAACATTGTTTTTTTTGAAATTTCACGTAGAATATTCTTACCTATGGGAAACATATTAGCTGTAAAAAAGCTAGAAAGAAAAAACATGAGTTATTATTTGATTGAAGTTCGATAAAGATCATGCATTATGATAATAACTTACTAATCTCCAATGACAGCGATAGTTCCACCTTTTCGAACAACAGTAATCGCTTCAGCTAATATTTCAGGTGTGTCCGTTTCCAGATAGACAGCACGTTGAATCTTATGTACTAAACCTGTAATAAAAAAGAAGAATATACTAGATTTCTTGTAAAATATAGTTTCATAAAAAGTAAACTATTCAAAAGTATTTCATTCGTCATTGTATTCGAAACCTATATTACAAAAAAAATCTTACTTTTCGTATAACGAAAACCGACTGCATCGATACATACATCAGGACCACCTATTAAAAACAATTATTATTGTATTTGTATAATATATATTAAGAGTTTTACCAGGCAACAACTTTTGCATAGTATCAACGACATTGTCTTTGGAAAAGTTAATTGTTTCAGCGCCTTGTGATCGAGCTTTGGCTAAACGTTCTTCAATACAATCAATTGAGAAAATTCGTTTTGCACCTCTATATTTAGCCCACATTATGGTTAACAAACCAACAGGACCCGCACCCCTATATAGAAAGAATATATATATACTAATTAATTTATTCATACAAATAATAGTTCATTCTTGAGAATAAGACGAATTCATTATATGTTAAATTTATATGACTTAGAGAAAAAAAAAAGAATAGTCAATTAAACCATATATTAAAATATTGTAACTTCGAATATCAATAAGGTGTAAATCCATTATCAATAGCATAGTATAACTTACCAAATAGCTACTGTTGTTCCTGGACTGACTCCTCCCATGACATTTGCATGCCAGGCTACAATATTTACAAATGATATTATCTATATTTCAAAACAATAAAGTAAAAGAACGTAAACTAACCAGTACAAACGATATCACTAAGAAACAAAACTTGTTCATCAGTTAATCGATCATTTTTAATTTTTAGCAAATTAACATCAGCATATGGAACACGAACCCATTCAGCTTGACATCCATCATAACCTCCTGAAGTTAAAAACGGAAATTTTCCTTAACTAGTGACCAAATTTTCAAATAATACCTGTCAAATGAGAATAACCAAATGCTCCACAAATTCGATGACCATAAAGTGTTTCCATTACTTTGGAGTCATTTGTAATATCACATAATGAGAACATGCCAGTCTTACAATCTAAATAAAGAGCAAAAGTATCATAGAATATCCATTAATCAATACAAGAATGTACTGTTATATTTTTATGGAAGTGAATTAAAATAACTTACATTCACATTGTCCACAGGCGATGGGCGCACTGACAACAACACGATCACCAACTTTAATATTTTTAACAGAATTACCAACGCTCTCGACAATACCCATACCTTTTAATAAATAAAAACTCATTATATAAAAAGGAACAATTTAGATTGCAAAACTTACATTCATGACCAATAATATCTTTTGCTTTCATACCTTTCATATCTCCATTATCTAAGTAAAAAATAAGAATAAATGCTGTTCAAGAAAAAACACACGCTCTATTTTCTTACACATATGTAAATCACTTCCACAAATTGTTGATGAAGTTACATGAATAATTGCATCTGTATCATCAGTTATTATCGGTCGAGGTCGTTGGTTTACTCGAACATCTTTTTTACCCTAGAGAAAACCATATATAATTCTGGTTCATTATGAAAAACTCTACATAATGTTGTTCTAAGAAAAACGCTTACATGCCATTCGATTACAGTTGACATTAAATTTGAATCATATTTAGGTGAAATTGTTGGTGGTTTAATCGGAGAGTTTTGAACTTCATCGCGAACAGATTCAATCGGATATGTTGTAAACGATGACACTATGATAGGCATTGATTACATGACGTAACGATTAATAGTTAAGAAATACTTACTAACATTTTGATGTGCCCATTTTTTATCAACACAATTCGACTGATCAAAGTCAACGAAGTTTCTAGTGCTCATTTTAATTGTTCGAAACGAAATCTACAATAAAATAAATCTTAATTAGCAGACAATTTTTAGTAATACAATAGAACAATATTAATGCAAATATTCTGTTCTACTAGGATTGTAATAAACGAAATTATAATATATTATTGGATACGTGAAATACATTTTTTTGCACCTTTAACATGTTTTTTCTTCAAATTTTTTTAGCTTAATCAAGATGGAAACAAAAATAGACTTTCTTGAAACAGCTCACCCTAGAAATAGACGGAAAGATTCGTACAGATAAAAACGATGAAGGAATTCGTGATGCTAGAGTCTCACATAAAAGTGACGTTACAAATAATACCATTTGTATTTTTTTTACTCTATGAAGGGAGAACAGGCATTACAGATAACTCTTTTTTTTTCTACGATATAGTAAAGAACGCAAGAAAAAGTGCACTCTTGTCAGCACGTGTTCTTTCACGTGATCTTTCTTCTTCTATTTGTTTTGTGATGCTGGAAACATTTTTTTTCACTGGCACATTCGAAAGCATGACCAATACCAAGAACAATGGTTTCGCAGGAACACATAATATATCAGAAGGCTGAAAACAAGTCAGAAAATTCCTGGAGATAAATATAATTGCATGTCATCAGCAGCTACTAATTATTACCTATTGCCTGTTGATACTACTAAAACGAGTGCCTCAACAGTTCTCTGACACTTTTGAAATTCATCGTTCTCATGATCCACAAAGTCAAACATCTTGAAACTTTGGCAGATTATTCCATCTATCAAGTACTGTATAATGACGCAAACTTTGATGACTATAGCTGTTACTATGAGCGAGATCCAGTGATAAGATTGTCATGTACTCATTTTTTTGAATTTTGCTGATTATCTTGCTTATTATTAAAACTACCTATAAACAATCGAAATAAAAAGAAGCGCACAATCATAGGAATCCATGATCGCATGATTGATTAATACCTTGATGAAAAACTCATTTTAATCATGCTAATAGTTTATCCGTCATTTATTGACATAATGAAACACCAAAAATATTATATTCATTCATTTTTATTGTTGTTTTCCAAATATTCGATGACAGTACTTTTGCTGTTGTATTTTCTCCTTTGAAGCACTCCAAAAGTTTAAATGGACCAAAGGTCGTCAAACTAGCACCACAAGTTTTCCAATCAATTCAATAAATTAAAACTTCCTCGACGATAATTAACGCCACATTACCAAACCAAGAATAGTGATCTTATATATTTGGAAAACAACATTAAAAAAAGAATGTAATGTGTTCAGTATTTTATTATGCTAATGAATGACGGATAAAATATCAGCATGATTAAAATGAGTAATTGATCAAGGTGTTAATCAATGACACTGAACATCGATACCTGTTATAGTGCGTTTCCTTTTATTTCCATTGTGTATAGTTAGTTTTCATCATAATCATGATGATCAGAAAAATTAAAAAAATTAGTACATGACAATCTTGTTACTGAATCTCACTCATAGTAAAAGTTGTAGACGTCAAACTTTGTTGTTATGTAGTACCTGATAGGTGTGATAATTTGCAAAAGCTTGCTTGTGTTGGATACGAGAACAATGAATTTCAAAACTTATAGAGGACTTTTGGGACACCGGTTATATTGTGACGTTAAAAAGTTGATGTGGATATGGATCATTTTTTTTCTATAGATTATTAAGTAAGTTTAATTTTGCGCATTTTTTCATTGATATAATTGCTATATTTTGTCGTTATATGAACATTTTTACATTTTTGAAGTGTTTATTCATGATGAGGCAATGTCTTTTTTTTCATGTTTCAATTAAATATAATATTTTAGCCTTTATCCGTTATCTTCCCTGTTCTTTATGGAGTAGTATGTATTTATTAAAGAAATGTTTGATAGTGTGGGGTTATGTTCTTTATGATAGGGAATGCTTTTATTAAATCGGAAAGAGATGCTTAAAGCTATAGTCAATTGTTAAAGCAGTGCTCTGGTTGAATGCTTCATTGTATAAAGTATTCAATCATCTGATTCGTATGAAAATTTCAAAATTCTATCTTAATTGAAGATATCTATTGACACATTTGTTCGAGTTTTAATGTTATCAGCAACTGTTCTAATACTTATAAACGTCAAAGTAAAACCACTATTCGTTTCTGGTGGAGGCTGTGATTAACAATCATGACATCTTTTACCTCTGTTGTGATCAAATGTGTCATGTCGCTGAAAATTTTCTGATAGGATTATTTAGGCATCTGTCGAAATCGTACAGACTTATTTGAAATATTTTGAATACCCACAAAAAGTTTACTTGTCAGTTCGTTTGTAATTTATCCCAAAGAGGTGAATAATTACTAACGTTTCAGTTGAATTCCAACAATGAATATCGTTTTTTTTGCGGCCAAGATGGAAGAGTCTTGACTTTTATCGATTTACAGTTAGTTTGATTTTGAGCAAATTCCTTCAGGCTAGTCCATCATCGGTCGTCGAGAGGTTTTCCAGTATGTTTGTGTCAAATGAGTAATGAAGGAATAAATTAGAAAAACAAGCATGCGACAATGTGTAAGGTCATTATGATCAACTGGATTATCGATATGTACTTTTATGGAAGAAAATGAAATAAATATCACATTTGGTTCATTATTCACAGTATATATGAGTATCGTGCATAATTTTCTATAATAAAATTGACTGTTGTGAAACGGCAACGCAGACTTAGGTAAAATGAACAAATGACTTGTTTGTATACCCTCAGGCACTCCCTTTTCATTAGTGATACCAAGTAAATAAACAACAAACTTGTTTTCAAACAATAGAAATAAGTTCAATATGAAAAAATGAAAAAATTATACGTGAAGAAATTGGAATGGAAGCATAAAAGAGTATTGTCATTTTCAGCAATTGGCCAAATGTTCGTACCTTTAGCATCTTTAGCATTTTTATCTACCTGAACATTCTAACCAACAGCAAAATTGTCTAATTCATTGGGCATGGTTACATTGACTGAGCTCAAGTAAGTTATTGTGAAATGTCAACAAGTGTGGTATTTTCTAAACTTTTGGATGATGGTGTTATCAACTCAATGGAGGAGAAGACATGAGAGAGAAATGCTCACTTGATTTGTTCATTTAACTATTCATACCATTCATGTTCAGAATATCTGTCATTGATAAAAATCATAATGAGAGAACAGCAGTAATGCGTATTGATTAAGCACGAGAAGAATGGATACGAGGTCGAAAGTAAGAAAGAGATGACAGTAAAATTTTCCTTAACGGTATAGTACTTGCTACTGTAACTTGATGATGACGCTCGAAACTCTATACAATCATTTAGGAAATGGTTTCTAAATACTGGTGAAACTTAACATTTCAATTTTTGGTAGTCAAAACCGAGTCGAAATACAGTGACGTAATACTTATAGAATCTCATGTGGCATCGTATATCACTGTTCAAGGCCACAACGACAATAAATGAAGGAATGAAAACAAAATTTTCATATATCCTATGATTCTGAAATGTTTCGTTCTCATTCCCAAGAATAAAACCTCTCTCATTCGTATCAAAGTTAGCAACTGCAACATTCCGTAGATTGTCACTGTTATAATCAACGACCACAAGTGCGTACGGATGAGAATTATAGTTGATTACGAATATACTTTGTTTTTAAAGTTATCATTATCCAACACAAAAAGTAATCCACTGTTATAAGTGCCATAATTCGCAACAATAAGACCAAGTTAATTGTCATCGTTTAAGTCAGCAGCACCAACACTTATTAAACGAGAAGTACTGTAAGATGCAAACTTCTTTTTCTTTATAATAGCCTTACTTGATATTTCAACAAGTATACTTACCACGTTGCTCCCGTCAGTAACGACGGTAAAGTGTCAAAAGACCGAAATTCAAAACGTCGAAGAGCAAAATACCGAAGGAAAAACGTCGAAAAAAAAACATCGAAGAGTCAAAATGTCGAAGGAGTAAAACATCGAAAATGCAAAAATATCGAAAAACAAAATGTCGAAAAGTAAAATATCGAAAATATTGAATATGAATGAGAGTACCGATAAATTTTCTAATAGTTCATTTTCTATTATTTTATGTCTGCGAAATGAAAGTAGATACAGCTTTTTGTATTATCGTTGAGGGTAAGAAGAAAGAAAATAGATAAAAAAAGTGTTATATTTTAATTCAAATGCACAGAAAAACTTTCGCAGTTGCTTTATTCATCTTGTACAAATAACCATCATACACCAAAAAGGGCTTTCCCTTGTTGCTTGTGACAAAAGAAATACTTGTTGACATGTAAAGATAAGTAAAGTAAATACTTATGTATTACGACACGATAAATGATTTAATGCACGTATATATCGTTAGAAAGACATATATATGGACGAATAATAAGAAAAAATAGTTACTGAGTGAAAAGAAAGATACTAATTGAGTTTGTGACAAAAGAAAGGAAAAACTTACATACGTGCACATACCATTGCAGAGAAATATATCAACAATAATGTAAGAGAATGAATAGGCTATGTACAGGGATGGACCGAATCAACTAATATTAGGGGGTGTAATCAGCGACGTATTCAGGGGAGGAAATGGGGGGACCGATCCCCCTCCTAACCTGTTTAAATATCTGAAGGGGGTACGGGTTTATTGTTTTTCCCAACTTAAAAGCTACCTTTTTTCTATGGCGATCCCCCTAAAAAAATTTCTGGATACGTCGCTGGGTGTAATGAACTTTTTGGGGAGTGGAGGTTAACTTTTGGGAACCTTGGGGGGGGGGGGGGGTGTAATGTTATTTTCGTTGACAGAACACAAGAAAATTTTTGAATTTTACCAGGAAAATGGAAAAATTTTCGAGGATTGGGGGTGTCACACACCCG